TTGGTCTTCCTTGGTGCATCTAGCTACTCTTGATAATTGGGTCTCAAGCCATGTCTCCCTAATTAGTGGCCATGCATTTGAGGCCACCTGGTTGTTATATCATTCTTGGGATCCACCCTCATACTTCTGTTTTCTTCACTACCCAGAAGATTGACTGATCTTTTCAGGGTAATAACTGACAGCTCCCCTTGTCAATCCTCTTAAGTACTTCTCCTGTCCCTGGTGCCTGTGTGCCTATATACTGCTTATGGTACCAGGGAGGGATGATTCTCCCATTGTGCCTGCTTCCTTGTGTAGGAACTGTGCAAAGGATGCCTTCCAAGATCAGCTTACTATGTTTTTATGTTCCCAAGAGCTTTAGACAGCTAGTTAATCCCCATTTTGTGAAGAGGAGGTATCCCAATGCAAATATGATCCAATCCCATGACTTGATCTGTATCCTGCAGGGCATGGCCTTTCTCCACAACAGCATTATTGCATCCCATGGGAGTCTCAAGTCCTCCAACTGTGTGGTGGATAGTCGCTTTGTGCTCAAAATCACAGACTATGGCCTGGCCAGCTTCCGATCTACTGCTGAGCCTGATGACAGCCACGCCCTCTATGCCAGTGAGGTCCTCCTCTCCCCCCCCCCACCATAACCCACTTTTTAATACTGCTCCTGTGGCCCTGATCATCTCTACCTAGGGAGGGTGGGAGAAGGATATGGGGTAACAGTAATATAGGGAGCATTATGGGAATGAGCCTGGGTGGGCATGAGAATGCCCTATTTTGGGTACCTGGCCAGCTGTTCCCTCTTTTCAGAAAAGCTATGGACTGCCCCAGAACTGCTCAGTGGGAACCCCCTGCCAACCATAGGCATGCAGAAGGCTGATATCTATAGCTTTGGGATCATCCTACAGGAGATAGCACTTCGCAGTGGTCCTTTCTACTTGGAGGGCCTGGACCTCAGCCCCAAAGGTGAGAGTCAATTCACTACCCATAGCCTCTTCTAGCTGGGGGGCCCTGTTCTTCATCCAAACACTTTATCACCCTCAGAGATTGTCCAGAAGGTCCGAAATGGTCAGCGGCCATTTTTCCGGCCGAGCATTGACCGGACCCAACTGAATGAAGAGCTAGTTTTGCTGATGGAGCGATGTTGGGCCCAGGACCCAGCTGAGCGGCCAGACTTTGGACAGATTAAGGGCTTCATTCGCCGCTTTAACAAGTGAGAGGGCACTAAGGGGCAGGAGCTCCCCAGGGATAGAAGCCTCATTGGTCTTGGAGGATGAAGTGGGGCTGGAGGGTCCAGAGAGTGGGTTGAAGATGGAGTCCTGGGAATCTTGGAGTAGGCACCACATCCTGGCTTCCCCTCAGGGAGGGTGGCACCAGCATATTGGACAACCTCCTGCTGCGCATGGAGCAGTATGCCAATAACCTGGAGAAGCTGGTGGAGGAACGCACACAGGCCTACCTGGAGGAGAAACGCAAAGCTGAGGCTCTGCTCTACCAAATTCTACCCCAGTGAGACTTTTGCTCCCCTTCCCAAGTTTTCCTTTGGGATTCTGCTGTTGGGTTCTGCATCAAGCTTCTGGGAACTCACTTTCCATCACTTAAGACCCTGCTTTGTTACATCTTACCAGAGTGAGCCGTTCTGGCTATAGGCTATGTGCTATCATTCTGCCTCCAAATGAGCTGTGCTGCCTTCTTTCTGGCTTACGATCTCTCCTCCTTAGGGCACTGCTCTACCATGCCCTTGCTCCAGCAAGTGTATGTAAAACAATCCCAACTTGAGGCACTTAGCCCCATCCCCAGGGATCCCTTCCCAACCCCTCACCACTTGTGCACCTAACCTTGCCCTAGACTGTAATGTCTTCCCAGCCATCTTCCTTCTCCACCAAGCTCAGCTCTCATGTTAGAACTCATCCCTGCTACAGCCATGCACCCCTTTTCTCTCTTTCCTCCTTCTACCCTCTTTCTCTGAGTTAGGCGCAAACTGCTCCCTTGCTTCCTAGTTCAGTGGCAGAGCAGTTAAAACGGGGAGAGACTGTACAGGCTGAGGCCTTTGACAGTGTCACCATCTACTTCAGTGACATCGTCGGCTTCACGGCCTTGTCAGCAGAGAGCACCCCTATGCAGGTGAGAGCCATGGGTGAGAGGTAGTAAGCGGGATAGGGACCTGGGGGGAAGCTTCACTGGGACATAGGGATCTTTAATAATAGGGAAGATTAGCTTGTTCTGGAGTTCCCACATCTTGTTAATAGCTTGTGGGTTAAGAATTCTTAGAAAGTTGGTGCAAGTCTCAGGGCCTATGCTTTCCCATGTCTGTCAGGTGGTGACACTTCTTAATGACCTGTATACCTGCTTTGATGCCATAATTGACAACTTTGACGTCTACAAGGTGAGATCTGGGGCTACCTTTCTACTGAGATCCCTTTAAAGCTTAGACTCCCTGCACCCCCATGGACTTTCCCTTTCTGGGTCTCTAAGCATCTACTATTCTTTGTAGACAAATGTGGCTCTGGCACTATAATGGGCACTCCAGTCTAATTTCTTGTGAACCTTAGGCTTCCCTGATGAGAAGCATCACTACTCAAGATTTAGCCCCTATCTGCTACTTCTTTGCCTGGATATAAATACAACCTATCCATCATTTCTCTCCAATTCCCTCCAGACATGAAAGAATCATACAGGATGTGGGTACAGAAAGATTTATTGGGGTGACGGACAGGCTATAAAAAATATTGTTATAAAGCTTTTTGTTGAAGTCATTGAGATGGCAGAGGATGGACTTTATTGTACTTTGGAGCAAAAATGATCTGGATTTGAATACTGTCCTTGTCACTAACTGTGTGGCCTCAGGCAAGTAATAGAATCTCCCTGAGCCTCCGTTGTTTTATCTATACAATGGGAGTAAGATATTTGTTGAATGGAAAGCACCTAACATGTTTGGCACATGGCAGATAATATATACCTATTCCTGTCTCTTCCCTTTGGACTTACTCTACCATCTGTTATTACGGTAACAAAGAACTCTCATAAATCCTTTACCCAGATTCACCAATTATTTATATTTCCCCCATTTGCTTTTTAAAATAGTCTATATAATTATTTTCTGAACCATTTGAGAGTAAGTTTCAGACGTATCTTTATCCCTAAATACTTTAGTGTGTATTTCCTAAAAACAAGGACTTTCTCTTGTGTAACTACAGTACAATTAATAAAATCAAGTGTCTGCTTTCTTACCCTTTGAATGCTGGACTGTCTGAGGCCCATTTAAGTGGCCTGCTTTACCTTCTCACCAGCCCTCTGAGCTCTTCAGTTTAGCCCAGTTTTCTTGCTTCCTATTTCCCGACAGCAGAGCCTATTTGTCCATGTTCTGTTGCAGACAGGGTGTCCATTCATTCAGCAAACGTTTACCAAATATTCACCAGGTACTGGAGTGGGGAGGAAAGATTTAAAGATTCCCTTGATTCCCTCCTTCCCCCAGACTCTCAGGACCATGGCACTTATTTTCTAGTCAATGTTCTGGCTCCCAGGCTGTCAGGATGACGCACAGTGGTATCCAGCTGTGTCCCTCTACTCTTCCCCAGACCCACTGATACAGATAGAGGTGACCTTTTAATCCTCCTTTCAACCAGGTGGAGACAATTGGAGATGCCTACATGGTAGTATCTGGCCTCCCAGGCCGAAATGGTCAACGTCATGCCCCGGAAATTGCTCGTATGGCCCTAGCATTACTGGATGCAGTTTCTTCCTTCCGCATCCGCCACCGGCCCCATGACCAACTGAGGCTACGCATAGGGGTCCATACTGGTAAGGCTGTTTCTCACTCCAGCCCTCATCTCCACCCTGTCCAGGCTTTCCCAACCTGTTCTTCCTCATAGGGCCAGTCTGTGCTGGGGTTGTTGGCCTGAAGATGCCCCGCTATTGTCTTTTTGGAGACACGGTGAACACTGCTTCCCGAATGGAGTCCAACGGTCAAGGTGAGACATTAGCCCAGTCCCCGTCTCAGCCTCAGTCTCTCTTGCTCTCATCTCCTTTTCATATTCCTCCAAATTTCTTAGCCTGAGAGAGCGCAGTTCCTAAGTGCTGCTGTCCTTGATGATATTTTAGTTCTAGTAAATGTGCACTGGGGAGACTGAGAGCCTCCTGAGGGCTGGTTGGTTGGGTAAAGCTCTCTCCAATACTGCCAGTTTTTCTGTTGCCTCTTCTTTGACTCTTCTCTCCACCACCCTTCCCCACCCCAGCCCTGAAGATCCATGTCTCCTCTACCACCAAGGATGCCCTGGATGAGCTAGGATGCTTCCAGCTAGAGCTTCGGGGGGATGTGGAGATGAAGGTGATGGCAGGCCATAGGGAGGGGGTAATGGAAAGGGAGGATGAAAATAATTATGGGATCATGGGGGAAGAGAGAGAGATAAAGAGACTAATATAGAAGAATCTGAATTATCTTCACCTTCCCGCTTCCAGGGAAAGGGAAAGATGCGAACTTATTGGCTCCTAGGAGAGAGGAAAGGACCTGCTGGACTCCTGTAAACCCTACTTCATCCCAAGTCAGACAGTCTCCTGTTGCTGGTACCTGGGTTGGCAATGGCTATCATCTCTCCATACATCAAAAATGGACAATGTCATGGGATGGAAACCATCAAGCACAAAAACCGTTCCTTAGTGTGGAGGTTATTGCCCTTTGCAGCTCAGCCTTGTACATATAACTGCCCCTCTCTGCCTGGCCCCCCTCAAAACATTCTGTAAATATCTGTATCTAAACCAGAATATTTTGGTCAAATATAAAACAAAAAAAGTCATGGTGTCATAGTCTGGGGTAGGGGCAACCCCAAGGAAAGGAGGTTATGGGGTATGAACATAGTAACTCACAGAATCACTGAATTAACAGTCTCAGGATGAAGGAGAATCTTTTATGTAACCTGCCCTCATCAAATACAGATAGAATTAACTTCCTCCCCACCTCTCCATTACAGGCAGAAAAAGATTCCACATTCCACACATAACCCCTTCCCGATTCTTAGGCAGGAGTAGTTAACCCCTCTCTACCACACTGCCCTCCCCCTGGCAGGCAAGGGAAGACATTTCTCCCAATTGGTGGGGGTAATTCTCAGGTTCATAGGGCAAAGGCTGCCCCAGGGACAAGGGCACTGGTGTTGTGAAGCTGCAGTTTCTCCGGAATGGTGTGTCCAGTGTCTTGATATTACTGACACCCTGGAGGAGTGCCAGAATGAGGACAGATCTCCTGCCCCCAAGTCAGAATAGAACAGCCCCTCCTTTTTCTCTCCCTTCCCCAACACCTAGTCACTGTCACACACCGGTAGCTGTGGTGCCCTCTGTAGCCAGAAGGTTTCAGGCTGCTCCCGACGGTAGTCGTGGGGCTGTGAGGGAAAGACACTGAGTAACTCTTAGCCTACAGTCGCTTCTCTCATCCTCTGGGCCCGCTGCTTTCCCACAGCCTGTCAGAGTCCAGCTGTGCATGTCGGGTGGGATGGGTTCTCACCTTGGTGGGGGCAGGAGGCCCTGACTGCACCAGCTCCATTCGGTAGTCATGGTGTGTCACAGACTGAGTCTCAAAGAGCTTCCTTGTGGGTTCCTGCTCTGCCTGCACCTCCTTACTGTACAGCCCTGGGGGAAGTCAAGGCCACTCTCTCCCAGTTTTTGTCCTCCCCTTCCCTTCCATCTTCCCCCAGCCTCTTACCAGATCTGGTGGTGCAGGAGCATCTCCAACATGGCTTCCCGCTTCCCTGTGGGAGGGGAAGGGGTGGAAAGAATGGGGAAGTCTGGTTAAGAAGCAGGTCCAGAAGAAATACATTTGTGATAAAGGAATGAAAATCTTATGTTTTTTTTTTTTTTTTCCCTGTACCCATTGGACCATCCACAGTCCCACTGAGATTTCCTTCCTCTCCTTTTTTTCTGATTAATGGACTCATTTTGGCCTGTCTCTCATGCTTCACACCTCGAAGTGATGGATAGAGGTTTGCTGGGGGCTGGTGAGAGTCTTTTTGGGTGGTGCTGGAGGGCATGGGGGACTGTAGCTGCAGGGTCCGCAGTCCTCGGTGTCCGTGTCGGAAGAAGAAACTCTCACAGCCATCCTGCGTGCTTGGGACTCGATCCAGGTGGTTGGTAGCTCTCTGTGGGCCCCGAGTTGAATGACCATGATGCCCCTTCTGGTACCCACCCTCAACATGAACTACTCTCTCCCCCAGGAAACTGAGGGTAGCCCTTAAGAAAAGGGGGTAGGCCAAAACCTTAATACCTCCTCCTCCCAGTTGTAGAGGAGACACTGGCCCCGTGGCAATGTTTCAGAGATTTCCCTTAGGTTAGATTTCCCTTCAACCTTTGAGGGTTTCCATAGCCCTCGGGCACCAGGTTCTGGGACTTGCAAAAATTCCCAGGATGGCTGTTTCTGAGGCTCCAGGTAGCACTGCTGACTCCAGGAGGTGGAAGTAGGGACCGGATCTGCTCTAGGGTTTCTGAGCTTAGGGCCAGGGGCAGTGCTTGGACCAGGGCCAGCGCCTGGACCACGGCCAGAGCCTTGACCAGAGCCACGGCCAGGGCCAGAGCCACAGCCAAAGCCAGAGCCTGAGCCTTGACCAGAGCCATGGCCAGGGCCAGAGTCCCAGCGAGTACTAGAGCTAGAGTCAGGAACAGGACCAGAGCTAGAGCCACGAGGATGGTAAGAGGGACAGCTGTCAGTTGTAGTACCGGGATCCTGAGCAACACAGGAAACATAAGTGGGCTCAAAGCCAAGACTCCCATGGCCTATTTTGTGGGTAAAACTGGATCCAGCATAGGGATACCCAAGAAAACTGAGGTCAGAGGAGGGATCGGTGAGAAGAATGGGCTGAGAGTAGGGCCCTGTGATCTTTGTAGATAATGCAGCTGCTTTGGCAATAGAGGCGGCTGCAGTGGCTGCAGCAGCTGATGCAGCTGAAGCAGCCGAAGCAGCTGCTGCGGTTGCGGCTGCCAGGGCGGACCGAGTAACGCCTTCTGAAGAAGGAAGCGTTTCCGAAGAGGACCCTAGTGCTTCGGAGCTGCGCTGTACGTCTAAAGACCTGAAAGAGAACGAAGTCGTCCAAGTTCTCAAGAGCACAGCCGAGGAAGTCAGGAGACCTTTCTTGATCCCTTACGCCTGCAACCACAGCTGCAATTCTCACCACGACTCCGATCCCTCTGTACACGCGTTATACTCCATCCTCAGGCACCAGCTATCGGGTTGCCATGGAGACGGCAAGTAATTCCCGGAGACTGCGCAGAACCGGAGCTGGGTGGGTGTGAAGGCAAATCCTCTGCGGGGCGGAAGTTTTAAACCTCACGTAGTTAGGGGACGTCCGCTTTCCCCTCCCGACTCTATTCCCCCTCAACCCCGCTTTTAAGGTTCCGCTGACCCACGGCCTTGCTCTTCACGCCCAACCATGATTCTTTGCGGCTTTCTAAGGGTGGTTCTTTATGGGAGGATGTTGGAGACAAGCCGCGAACTGTGGCATCAAAGGCAAAGGCCTACCTGGTGTGTTTGTGGAGAGGCAACAATAGCTTCCCCTTAGTTCATTCTCAAAAGTGGGAGGAGTCTTTTAAAAAAAAATTATGGATGAAAATACACGAGATGACAGTTTAAATGCAAAACAGTGAGACATATGGAATAGTTAAAGGGTAACAGGTTTCTCTGCGGCTGCTTCTCCAATAAAAGGTAGAAGCCCTTCACACTGACCACCTTCCCTCCACTCCCCACCCCCACCTTAGAATCTGGCTTGGCCTCTGAATAAGGGCCAGGATTGAGCAAGCCTCATTCCTACTACTTTTCTAGAAGCCTCGCCCAGAGTGCTTCACTAGTCATGAGGACTCAGAGCTGCAGGCAACCACTCCTTTAATCACAGGATGGGCCTCCTCAGTGTTTCTCAGACTACAGAAAGGGGGATCATACCCATGGATTTTTTTTTCCCCCTTATGGTATAAATCTTCATATATTTAAGACACGGATCCAAAGTTGTAGGAGAGGTTTATTGGCATCACAGGGTCCTTTTTGCCCTTCCCCATCCAAGCATCCAGGCCTGGGGTCCTTGGTCAGTCGGTTGGTTGGTTCAACCTGGAGGCCACAGGAGCTGTCGGCCCCCAAGTACATGAATGTGCAGGTGATACACAGATTGTGCGCCCAGCTTCCCATCATTGATCACTGAAATGGAGCTTGGGGTTAGAATGTTAAAAACTGAAGATTATATTAAGAGGTGGGTATGAGAATTCATAGGTTAGGGGCTCAAGGGCCAAAAGTAACTCACCAAGCCGGTATCCATCTGCCAGGCCTTCAGCCTTTGCCATCTTCTTGGCCACAAGAAGGAGGTGTCCTAGAAGCTACAGGGAGAGGGGAGGGAGTCAGGTGATTTCATTCACGAGGAACAAAGCCTCTAATTGGTCCAGTACTCCCCCACCCCCAGCCAAACCCTGGCCCTGTTCTTCCCACCTGCTGATCCTCCTCTTCAGCCTGGCTAATCCGAGGAATGGGCTTCTTAGGAATGACCAGGAAGTGCACAGGAGCCTGAGGGGCCACATCACGGAACACAAGACACTGGAGGTTGGAGAAAGGACTTGTCATAAGCAGTGACAGGCCAGAGGCCACCATGTTACTTCAACAGGCAGGATTATATCTTTGTGGCATTACCTATGAAATTCCTGGGGGGATGGGTCCTAAGGGCATCCCACCTGCTGGTCCTCATATATAATGTCCGCTGGGAGGCTTCTGTCCAGGATCCGGGAGAAGATGGTTGGGGTTGCTCCCCCAGGAGCTGCCTGCTGGGCCTTGGCCACTTCATTCCCATCAGTCACACCTGCACGTCCTCGGACCTGAGGGTTGGTCAGACACACCCAAAGAGGGATTTGGAAATGTCTCTCCCATGTACTCAGTTAGGGACAGCAGAAGCTGAGCTCTGATAGTCATTAACTTCACTCTTCTAAGAACCTATTAGTGATTCCCACCCAAGCGAAAAGTTCCTGAATTTCACAGCATCAGCAACAGAGCATAGGGCCAGATGGTGCTGGGCCTAGTTAGGTAATAAGCAATATTACAATGAAGGATTCAGCAGTGCGACTGATTCCTGCTCCTAACTTGTCTAGGGGATCTAACACTGTCAGGAGAAAAGGATCCATAATGAGAATCTAGAGGCTCAGGTTCCAGTTACTATTTTACCACTGATAAATCCCTTCTCTTTGAACATAAAATCAAGGGTGGTTTGCATCATCTCTTACGTCCACTTGGAGCTCTTTCCATTTACTCTCACCTTGTTAATAAGTTTCTACTTATTTCCATTACTTGCTTTCTGATCTTTAAGCCTTGTCACCTATTTTATTCAGATTTTAATGCAACTGTCCTGTTTGTCACTAGTTGATCCCTCGTCTGGGTGCTATGTCTGACCTCTTACTGTGGATTGCAACTCCCATCCTTCTCTTTAGTGAAGGGAAAAGGTCAGCTAAGTGAACTCAGCTCCCTCAACCGCAGGGAATCGGGGGTAGAAAGTCCCAGGTGCCCAGCGCTCAGAAGAGACTGAATTCATGAGTCACTTGGGGGAAGGGGGCAGGGTACAGGAGGAATTAGACTTCTTTGACACTCGAGTCGCTCTGGCAAGTCGCTGGGGAAGACGAAGGCTTCACACTAGTGCTCATTAGAAGGCCCGGGGCCTGAAGGCAGCAGAAGGCTGGCTCCGAGAACGGGAAGCTCATTTCCTGCAGGGGGCATCAGGGAGGCTGTCCAGAGCAGGCACCCGGTCAGCAAGCTCCAAGCCGGAGGATACTGCAGCAGCCGCTGCAGTGACCTTGTCCTGATCTCGGGTCTGTGCAGGGCGTCGGTCATCTCCAGTTCGCGTCACCCGCAGAGAAGGTGCCGCGACCTTCAGTCTGACTTTATCGCACAACCGCAGAGCCTGCCCTTCGGTAGAGGCAGAGGCCACAGCCTTGCGTTCGGGCTCCCGCCACGCGAGGTCGCAGAGCTGTGCATGCCTTCGGGAGCCCGGCCCTGGAAAGCGCCAGAGCCCGCGGGACACCCTCCCCGCTCCTACGGCCACTTCTCACCTGCGTCCCCCGCGGCCCCGCGGCCGCGACCGCCCTGCGCGCCATGCGCAGCCCGGCGGCTAGCACACCGGCCGCCGCCATCTTCCCCTCAGCCGCCGCCGGAACTTTTCACTCAGACCAGCACTCCACACTGGTTCGAGGTGGGGCTCGACGCCACAGACTGCGTCGGGCCTCTCGGGGGAGCGGGTGAGGAGTAGCCATTGGTTCCGCCAGCGGTCGGGAGCAGCCCTGTCATCCCATTGGGTCGTGCTCCTAGGCCTTACGTGCCGCCGTGAGGGTGGCACTATTCACTCCATTGGCTCCGCCGCTTCTTTAGAGACGGAATCTTTCATCCCATTGGCGGGTTCTGCCAAACCGAGAGTGATTTTTCCAGTAGTCAGGGAGAAAGTTCTTTTTCCATTGGATTCCCTAACTAGGTTCACTCCACTGGAAGGATTAAGAGACCCAGAGGTGGGGTTTCCTCCCAATTGGACATGATACTTTGTTCTGCCTAGTTTGAGGCTCCCCTATCCTACACGGTGAGTAGGTGAGGCTTTTACGTTATTGGCTCATCCTCCTCACTTCTGGCCGCTACTGGTGGACTGGAGGAAAGGGGGCGTGGCCCTGTCACCTGCTGCACAAGGCGCTAAAATGGTTTAGATTCTTTCACCGCCTTGGCCAAGAGGAGGGGTTCTGAGGGTACTAAAGCGCTTATTGGCTCCAGGAAACCTCCGCGAACCCCTGGAGCCGAGGCGCTAGGAGTCCCGGGAGGTGGAAGGCGGGTGGAGGACACGGGACGGACTGGGCTCAAGGTGAACTGGGACGGTGTCTTTTTTCCCTTCTACGCGTGGGTTCGGCGTCTGAAGTTGTACTTGTCAAATACCCACCATTTTTACACAAGGGCAGTTTCAACCTTTTGAGCTTTCAAGAATTTTAACTTAGGGGTTAGTCTAAGGAAACACTGGTGGCATAGTGGTTATAAAGCTACAGCTGCTGACCAAAAGCTCGGTAGTTCGAATCCACCTAGGCGCTCCTTGGAAACCCTATGGGGCAGTTCTACCCTGTCCTATAGGGTCACTATGAGTCAGACTCGATGGTACCGCGTTTTGTTGTTGTTTGCTTGGTCTAAGGGCAATTATGCCTTAATTTCATGTTCTCAGTAACGCATTTTGCATTTTTTTTCAATGGGCGGGGGTGTTCTATCTTTGCCTCACTATTAATAAGCAAAAGACTATATCTAATGTTCTTTCCTAATCAGAAAAGTTCTGATAATAGCTCAGTGCCTGGAATTTTCAGTGAAATGCATCATGGACATAGGTCAGAAGCATATTTCCCTCTTCTGGAATATATATTTTTGACATAAACGAGGTCACAAAATGCTAATATACTCAGACACCACATAAATTTAACTCTGACGTTGAACACAGGACAGCTCACGGCTGTATCTTTAGTGGCCTGACCCATGTAGGTGCACAATCATTATTTGTTGAATGAATAATTAACGTTTGATGTTTTTCCTTTCATAATATACAATACACATGTATTGCATATTATATTTATTCCCCAGTTATAATCAATTTTCCATATTTCTACTTTGTCTGTGTAAATATACTTTATAATGGCTACATAATATTTCCTTGAATGAATTTATCATAGTAACCATTCCTCTACTGTTGATTATTAGTTGAATTTGTTGTAGGTGAATTATCATAGTTCTAAGTGCATATAGGAGCCCTGGTGGCGTAGTGGTAGAGAGCTCGGCTGCTCACCAAAAGGTCAGCAGCTTGAATCCACCAGCCACTCCTTGGAAACCCTATGGGGCAGTTCTACTCTGTCCTATAGAGTTGCTATGAGTTGGAATTGACTTGACGATAAAAGTTTTTTTTTTTTGGTTAACTGCATGTGACCAGTGATTAGCTTTTTGCTTCTGGAGATAGTACAATCTCTTTTTGTATAGCTATATTATTGTTAGAAAGTCCTTTCTCCCTGAAGGGCAGATATTTGACCCTGTGACTTCTCCCAGGGGTCCTAGAAGTCCAGGCTGTAGTTATTCCCTTGGAAGGATAGAAGGCCTCCCTAAATATAAGGAAATGTAGACTGGCCTTTTCTCTGTGTCCCAAACACCAGAGTTTTCTATGGTATCTCTGGGACAGCAGGACCCCCTAGAGCTGGCATGGAAAAAGGCAGAAGATAAAAGGAGCTGAGATGTAGGAAGAGGTAGGAAACCAGCCAGGAGGTGTAGGTGAGTACAAAGCATTTGAAATTGGTTGTTTCTTTAGGTTCTCATAGAGAGCAGGTGGCAAAAAGATTATTCCTGTTCTACAGATCTGAAAACTGAGGCTCAGAGAGGGAAAGTGACTTGGCTAGGGTCATGGAGCCCATTAGTGTCAGAATCTCATATTCCTCATAAGAGTCGTCTATGGACTTCCTACTCACTCTCCTATGTTCACTAACCTCGGTCCCTGGGTCACAGTCTTCTCTATGCCAAGCTTTTCTCATCACCTGTAGCTGCTCCCATCTGAACGCTTCAATGCTTTGCAGACTGACCACTGTCTTCTGTACTTCCATCTCTCCCACTATCAACTGGACCTCATTCCCTTGACTGCTCCTTTTTTCAATCTGCCAGTTATTACCTGGCTTCATTTCTTTCCCTGCCTGCATGGTCAGCTCCCTCCTCATCTCATGCTGCCTTTTATTGCCTTATTTTCCTGATCATCCCTGACACCCTCCCACCACCACTCATTATCTAAACATTTTGCTTCTCTGCTCCTCTAACTAGATTCCTGCTTCCAACCATAGCTTAATCCTCAGCCACCCACTGATCAGGTTTGTCCACTATTCTGCACATTAACCTTTCCAAACCTTTACCTCTCTCTTCTTGCTTCCTACTCCCCACTCTTGTCCCTCTCCTTCCCCACCAGCAATTGACCTTGTCTTCTGTTCTCATGGGATATAGAAGCCATCACAAAGAGTTTCCACAACATCCTGCTCCCTGAAGCTCAGTGAAGCTCCTATCCTTTCTTTCTTCCTCTTGCTCTTAGGAAGTAGTGTTTTTCCTGTCCAGAGTGAATTCCTTCACCTATGCCTTGACCGCATCCCCTCCCTCCATCTCTGGGATCTCATTTCATCAGGCATCTCTCCCCTCTCTTCTGCATCCTTCAAGGTCTTTTTCTCTACTGGCCCCTTCCCTTCAGTCTATAAAGTCTTTTCCTTCCTAAAAAAAAAAAATGCTTCTTTGACCTCACATCTTCCTTCAGACATTGTCTGACTTCTCTCCTGCTCTTCTCATCCAGACTTCTTGAAGAGATGCTTCCAGACTCACTGCTGTTTAGTTTCTGCCTCTACTGCACCACCGAAACTATGGCCTCTGAAGACCTCAAAGACCTTTTAATTGCAAAATCCAATGGGCACTTTTCTGTCTTTATCTCACTGGATCCCTCAGGTGCATCTGACATCACTGACGGCTCTATCCTTGAAACTCCCTCCTCCCTTGGCTTCCCTGAAACCACTCTCTCCTGATGTCAGAGCCAGCAGCTTGAATGTGGTTGCGATGGAGGCAGATGGCTGGACCCAGCCTCTCTCCTGCTTGGTGCTCTCTTCTGCCCCAATAGGTGTCTGTCCCAGGGTGTCTGTCCCTGGGCTGGGCTCTAGCTGCCACATACAGAGCCAGGTCAGATTCCAGTGGCTTCCCCTTTATTGCTGACCTGAACCAGGCTCACAAAGTCCTGTGCCAGGTGTTGACAGTATCTGTCCTTGGAGGAGGGAAGAGCAGAGGTGAAACGGTCAGGTATGGGGGTCAGATGTGGGGCCAGACTGGGGGCTATGTGGGCCAGGGGGCCCAGGGGGGCCAGGGTGGGAGCTGGAATGGCCAGAGGGCCCCTGTGGCTCTAGGGCCTTGAAGTCAGAGTTGCGGAGGATGGCTTTCCGAAGAGCAGGCATCTCTGCAAATGGCACATAGTCTGCTCCTGGGGGCGTAAACCAGTGCAGAAATGGGGTATGGGGAAATGGGGGTGTGTGAGGTAGTTCTGGAGGGAATGGTTGAGGGTGCCAGTGCCTTTCTGTCTTGCAGACTACAGACCTTGGAATGGTCCCCTGTCCCAGGTTGCCCCTCACCGTGAGGCCTCCCTCCTCGTCTCCGTGTCTCCTTGGTCTCAAAGAAAGTCTCATGTTCTTCCCAGCGCCGGTCACAGGCCGCACAGAGGAAATTAGACTCAAAGCAGTTGCAGCAACAGCCTGCAACAAGAGGACACCCAAGAAGAATATAGGGAATAGGTGCTTCCCCATGGGCTGACTACATTCTCATCCCTCTCCACCAACCACAAGCCCGTATCTCTCCTAGAGCTCCCCATCCTCAAACCATGTGCATTTCTATCCCCACCCATGCCTTCCCCTTACACTCCCTTTGCCTTAGAAGGTACCATAGTGCCTGCAGGGATGGGACCCAGTGGCTGTGTGATCTTCATGGCTGTGTTTGCAGCGACATTGGGCCCTCCAGGCCTTGGGGTCGAAGGTGGCCCGTCTAGTGAGCCAGAACTCACCCACCTCCTCTGGGCGTGATGGGATAAAGCAGAACATGAGGCAGCGGCACTGACTCACACCGCAGGGCACAGATATATCTATGGGAATGGAGATGGGTGGTAGGATTGGACCAGCACCTGATAGGGTCTGGCTATCCTGCTTTTCCATACCAATTCCTTCCCTCACACTTACATATATACACACTTTCTCTCACATATATCCCCAGATATGACAGAGTACAGTTATCCCTCCACACCCAACAGGGCCTGGTCAATTCTCTTCTACCTGAGTTGATCTGGTGCTCCTTCAACAAGTGTCCACAAAAGCACTTGGACTCATCCCCAATCCGGAAACAGTCCCAGAGGTAATGGGGGCAGCGCCAGCCAATGTAGAGACCTGAGTGTGGAAGAATTGAGTGATAAGGGAGTATGAGAAGGAAAAATATACTAACCTCCCCGCAATGTGTTCTCACCTATCCCCTTGTGGGGGGGAGGGGGTGGCTCACCTCTCCCCCAAGGTGGATTCATCTCCACCCAGGAGTCCTCACCTCTACCCCTTTAGGCTTTTTTCCTCAAGGTTTTCTCATCGCCCCACAAGTGTCTTCAGTTCCCTTCCCACCCCAGGATCTGCTCCATCTTTGTCAGCCTGTCAGAGGCTGAAGCAAGTCTTCAATTTCAGTGCTGGAAGATTATAAATGAAATTTTGTTTGAAGATCAATATTAATCTCACTTGAGTTCTCTGTGACTGTCTGTGTGGATCCCATCTCCTCCCCGCCCCACATCAGAGGCCAACTTTGATTTGTTTCTGTGGGTGTCTAAGGTGAGGAAAAGGAGAGATGTTTGACCATGTGTAGAGTAGGTGATAGGGACTGGCTCTTAAGAAGTATGGTTATTGAAGGGACTGGAAAAGGAGGAAAAGGTTGGGCAGCTCTGGTGCCAGGAGGTAGGAAGAGGGCTTCCCTTCCCTTCTGCAGGTTGGTACATTCATACTTCCTGTCTGTGTTCCTGGTGGTACTGAAATAGTACCCTCTCAGCTGCTAACCAAAAGGTCAGCAGTTCAAATCCACCAGCTGCTCCTTGGAAACCCTATGGGGCAGTTCTACCCTGTCCTGTAGGGTCATTATAAGTCGGAATTGACTCAATGGCCAACAGATTTTTTTTCTTTTTCTTTTTTTAAATGAAGTTGAGAAGGGCTGCCTATGGTTCTCCAAGGGTCAGGAGAAAGAGGTAAGCCAGAAGTCATGGGTAGTGAAAACCAAAAATATAAGCTCATGAAGCTGAGAAAGGAGGCTGGAAAGGACAGCAAGGCCAAGAAATATCCCTGAGAGCAGGTAACAGCAAAAGGCCAAAACCCTTGAGAACTATTCAGCAGTGGGATCTGAACTGCCTGGCTTCGTGGCCAATCACATCACAAGCAAGTGTGATGCTGCATAAATGTGGGAGGAAGATTTTCTCATCCTCCATGAGACCTGAGAGTACCCCAACTTCTAGCCAGGAATTCTGTATGAGTCCCCATGGAGTGATATGTCCAGCCATAGGACTCTTATTCCCACTTAAAGTCTCAACTGAAATGTCACCTCCACCAGAAAGTTGTCCCTGACTTCCTCTGTCTGTCTAGGGCCCTTCCTTTTGCCTTCCATAGCTCCTTGTGCTATTCCTATCACACAGTACGATGCAATATAATGATCTGTTCACTTATATTCCCATTAGTCTGTGAGTTCCTCAGAGGAAAGGTCTATCTTCTCATCTTTTATCTTTAGTCCTACCTAGCACAGGGCCTGGCACAAAATAGGGGCTCAGAGAACAAAGACTGCATTTACTGAACCAGTGAATGAGCAGAAGCAATTCCTTCAGGAGGGGAGAGAGACCTAGTATTTCAGAAATCTTTGGAAGCATAATCCTGAAGTAGAGAGGAGGGTGAGAGAGTTAATGTCGTCTGGTCTTTGACTCTGGCCAGGGCCACAATCCATAATTCTGTGCCGAACTGGCAGACTAGGCTTTCTTGTCTTACCCATGGCCTCTCAGGATCTAAAGCCTGTCCAGACGTGGCTTTTGACTTTGCTGTTTGTCTTGGTACTGCTGAAAGCCCGTAGTGCCAGTGCTCCGTTACACCAGGGAGACTCTACTAAGAGGGCAGGGTATAGCAGAGTCACAATGGATGTGGGCGGGGGCCAGGATTCCACCAGAGGAATTCTCAATTCTGTCCAGAGTAGCAGGACATACTAGATGAGCAAGTGAGGTACAGAGATGAACAAGAGTCAGTGCCTATAGATCAAGGCCTGGCCTGAGGGCCTGGGGGAATCAAGTCCAAACATTGATGTGAAACAACATTCAGATAAAGACTGGAGTTTGAATAGAGTTTGAATAGGGAGAGTGGGAACTACTCCTCAGACTATTAAAGGTGGCAGTGTGCTCAAAATGGGACAGTTGACATCTGTTAGTAGATTCCAGAGTGGTGCCCTCAGCTTTCTGCCTTGATTTCACATCCCTTTCCGGTTATGAGTAGATGAAGACTGGCAGGGGAAGGAGACAGTATCTGGGACACGATTTTGACTGTAAAACACAGTCCATATGATGATCCCATGATTACATTTGCCTGATAACATCTCTTTGCTCTTAGAACGTCTCCATACAACATTACATGATGTGTCCAGCCCAGACCTCTGAGTTTCAGACCTACATAGCCAACTGTCTACTAGACTCTTCCCCAGCATGCTCCACAGGCACTTCAGATGTGTTATCCCTTCAAACCTGGCCTTGTCCCTTGTCCTTCATTCATCCAACAAATACTTATCAAACATCTACTCTGTTTTAGGCATTCAGTTAATGGCACTATCATCCAATCAGTTACTGAAGCCAAAATCCTAGGTATCATTCTAGGCATTTCTCTCTCATCCTACAGATTACCTTCATAGCATTTCTTGAGTCTGTCCACTTCTCTCCACCTCTAACCGTTCACTTTTTACTGGGATCATTACCAGTGTCTCACAATAGTCTTCCTGTCTCTGGTCTTATCTTTCTCATCTACCCTACTGCCAGAGTGATCTTTCAGAAGCACAAATGAGTTCATGTTATTGCCCTGTTTAAAATCTTGTAGTGACTCCCAGTTACCCTCAGGATGTATCCCAACTCTTAAGCTTGGCACAGAAATGCCTGCACAATTCTGCCCTTTCAGAGCTGAGCTGCCCACACCTTCCCCCCGCCACTACTCCCCCCACCCCCCGCAACACTCTATGCACTAGGCATGCTGTATTGCCTACAGTTTCCTACTGGTGCCTTGCCCTGTTATCTCTCACCTTACCCACTCTTCACCTAACCACCTCTTGGGTACTTGGCTTACAGATTTCAGCCGGAAGTCACCTCTTCCCAGGCTTATTCCTGAAGCCCCCAAGATTAGGTGGCACTTTTCTTTGCTTGTGCAGCACTCTGGCTGACCTCTGTCATATTAGAATAATTGTAGTTGTCCTTTTATTATTACTCATTAGAATGTAAATTATTTGAGGGATTTTGTTTTTTCAACCCTCCCCCTACCACTTCCACAGCCAGCTTAATGCCTGGAACATAGTTGGTGCTCAATAAATGTTTCTTGAACGAATTAAAAGAAAACTTATGAACTTATGTTTGTTGTTGTTAGGTGCCGTCCAGTTGGTTCTGACTCATAGCGACCCTAAGTACGACAGAATGAAACACTGCCCAGTCCTGCGCCATCCGCACAATCGTTGTTATGCTTGAGCCCATTGCTGCAGCCACTGTGTCTGACATGTTGTTGAGGGTCTTCCTCTTTTTTGCTGACCCTCTACTTTACCAAGCATGATGTCTTTCTCCAGGGACTGGTCCTTCCTGATAACATGTCCAAAGTATATGAGATGAAGTCTTGCCATCCTTGCTTCTAAGGAGCATTCTGGCTATACTTCTTCCAGGACAGATTTGTTCGTTCTTGTGGCAGTCCATGGTATATTCAATATTCTTCACCAACACCACAGTTCAAAGGCATCAATTCTTCTTTGGTCCTCCTTATTCATTGTCCAGCTTCCATATGCATATGAGGGGACTGAAAATACCATGGCTTGGGTTGGGCACACCTTAGTCCTTAAAGGGACATTTTTGCTTTTTAACACTTAAAAGAGATCTTTCGTAGCAGATTTTCCAATGCAATGCATCATTTGATTTCTTGACTGCTGCTTCCATGGGTGTGACTGTGTTTTCAAATAAAATGAAATCCTTGACAACTTCAGTCTTTTCTCCGTTTATCATGATGTTGCTTATTGGTCTAGTTGTGAGGATTTTTGTTTTCTTTATATTGAGGCATAATCCATACTGAAGGCTGTGGTCTTTGATCTTCATCAGTAAGTGCTTCAAGTCCTCTTCACTTTCAGCAAGCAAGGCTGTATCATCTGCATATCGAAAGTTGTTAGTAAGTCTTCCTCCAATCCTGATGCTGCATTCTTCTTCACGTAGTCCAGCTTCTCAGACTATTTCCTCAACATACAGACTGAATAAGTATGGTGAAAGGATACAACCCTGACGCACATCTTTCCTGACTTTAAACCACGCAGTATCCCCTTGTTATGTTTGAACAATTGCCTCTTGGTCCATGTGCAGGTTCCTCATGAGCACAATTAAGTGTTCTGGAATTCCCATTCTTTGCAATGTTATCCATAATTTGTTATGACTGACACAGTCGAATGCCTTTGCATAGTCAGTAAAACACAGGCAAACATCTTTCTGGTATTCTCTGCTTTTAGCCAAGATCTATCTGACATCAGCAATGATATCCCTCATTCCACATCCTCTTCTGAATCCAGCTTGAATTTCTGGCAGTTCCCTGCTGATGTACTGCTGCAACCACTTTTGGATGATCTTCAGCAAAATTTTACTTGTGTGTGATATTAATGATATTGTTCGATAATGTCTGCATTCTGTTGGATCACCTTTCTTTGGAATGGGCACAAATATGGATCTCTTCTAGTTGATTGGCCAGGTAGCTGTCCTCCAAATTTCTTGACATAGATGAGTGAGCATTTCCAGTGCTGCATCCATTTGTTGAAACATCTCAGTTGGTATTCTGTCAATTCCTGGAGCTTATGTTTATACTTGATATTTCTGTAGACATGACATATACTGTCATGGAGTCCCTACTCTCCAGGGACTCAAGATCTGCAATACTAGAAGGGAACCCCAAGTATCTTTTTTCAGGATTGAACAACACTTGAATTTCTGTATAAAACTGCCTGTTTAAACAGGCAAACAAGAAATTTGTTGAGAAGAATAAGGAATGCAGTGGCATTCAAGAATGAGGAGTAGATAGGTTCTGAGAATGAGAGAATTGAACAGACCCTGCCTTTGCAAGAAGAATAAGAGTGACAAAAGATGCTAAAATAAGCAAACAAAGCCATCTCAATGCCTGAATTGAGAATGAGAAACAAATGTGATCACTATGATTTTCTTGGCCAGGGATGGAGGAGAGAGGGTCCCTGTATGGGAATAGGGAAAGTAAATTACATGGAGGAGGGATAAAGATATAATTAACTCGTTTTTATATCTTAGGCTGATGTAGTTTAGCTCTTTTCTCATCATGGAGAAAAGGAAGTATGAAAGACCAACATAAATGCAGTGACAGACATCTATTGAACTCATTTTAGAAACCTCAGTATCCTCATAGCAGGTCGGGGTGGCCCTCTTTCTGAAGATAATCGCTATAGATATGAAGTTTGGTATCACAGGTACACATGGTCAGAGACAAGATGGCCTGTGTTTACACAGTTCATCTGTACACCTTTGACATAGAGGCATATATATGCACAGCATGCCATGAACAGGACTGTCAAGAGTACTTGTGGGCTGAGGCAGGAATTAGCAGGGCTAGAAGACATCGCTCTCCTTTCTGGTGAGAAGACCTAAAGCTTTTGGGTACCCAGGGATCATGGGCCTGGCATGCATGAGTGACAGACTTGTAATAGAGTTCTACCAAGGGGACCAAGGTCTTTTGCCATGTCATAGCAACAAGTCTCCTGGAGACTGTCCAGGGTCCTGGGCCATCTCTGCCTTAGAGTCTTTTTTGTACAGGCTATCAGGGTCCTAGAGCTGGAGCTGGCCTGTGACCCTTCTGTTTTTAACAACTTTGGGTTAAACATCTGTCTCTACCTGGGCTTTATATTAATATCCCACTGTTCCTATTTCTGCCTGCATCCACCCTGGCATTCTGGATAGGTGGCATTGCTGTTTCTACAAGGGGCAGCTATCCATTGAATGGGTAGGTTCCCAGATTCTGTTGGGTTGGAGGTGGAGGATGGCCATAGGCCTGTCACAGGCCTCTGCAAAACTGCCTGGACTCACCTGTCTGGATGGCACTCAGGGCTGCATGCTTCTCCCATTGGAAAAGATGATCCACCTGAGCACCAAACTGGTCTCTGTGCATCGCCTTAGCCACTTCCACCAGCTCTGCCTGCTTAGCAGGGACTACTGGGTGGACTGTGTAACCTAGGGAGGGAGGGAGGGACTGAGTATTCAGGGGAAAGTTAGGAGGCCCTAAAACTAAGAGAAGGGGCCATGTCAAAGAATAAGCCTCTTTCTAGGGCAGGAGAAGGGCAATGATGAGAACAGGGGAAAGGGCAGGAGCAATTACGGCTAGCTGCTTTCTTCCTCTTCTTCTTGTCCAGCTGGTGTCCAGGCTGGGGTGTGTGAGCAGTGCTATCAATGGCAACCACCCCTTCCTTGTCCTCTTCTGCTTCTTCCTTCTGCCCTACAGATGTGTCCTTGTGGACTTGGGCTGAACGGCCTGAAAGGGAGTGCTTTTTAAGGATCACAGGTTCAGGGACCTCCAGGGTGGACTTCCTTGCCCTTGGGATCTCATTGAAGGAAGACTCAGTGTAGAGGTCTTCCCTCAGGGCATCATCTTTAGAGGAAGATGCAGAGACATGGTCTTCTGATGAGGGATTAGAAGAAAGGCGTTTCTCTGGGCCTTTAGAGATATGAGACTCCACTGGGGCCTCATAAATGGGGGTCTTTGGAGGGGTCTCAGAGATGGAGTATTCTAAAATGGTTTCAGAGGTGTGGGCCTCTAAAAGGGTCTCAGAGGTGTGGGTCTCTAAAGGGGTCTTTGAAGTGGGTGGCACCAAAGGGGACTTGGTGATATGGGGTTCTAAAGGGGTCTCAGAGTTGGAAGACTCCAAGGGATCTTCAGAGATAGGGGGCTCCTGCAAGTCCTCAGTAGAGGGGTTCTTTGAAGAGGGGTGCTCCTCTGCATCCATGGTGGTATAAAGCTCTTCTGTAACCTTGTCTGCTTCCATCTGGTGGTAGAATAGGGTACAGACTTTATTAGGTTGGAATTGGAGGGTCTGCAACAGAGTCCAGGGTTCATAGTGGGTTGTGGAATTAAAATAAAGTGCTCATTGCACCTGAGATACAAGAGGGAAGCAAGATAAGCTCTGGGTCTCAGAGTAAAGTGCCAGGATGGTCACTCATGTGCAAGACTCCATGTGGCATGCTGCTATGGTTTGTAAGAGAGCTGGAACTTAAAGCCGGAAAGGCTGAAGCAGTCAGAATCCCATCAGTAGATGGTAGCAGAAGACCAGGAGGGAGCCTGAACATAGCAACTTGGCCAGTCCATATCTCAGTCCATATATCACAGCTTGAAGGACAGGCTGTGGAGCTCCATGGACTGGGACTACTAAGTCAAACTGGGGAAGAGTTACATGAGTGTTGGCTCCAGAGGATGCAGGAGGATGCCATGATGCATAAGGCAGGCCCCTGTCCACAATCTGGTTTGGTCTAGGGACCACATATGTATTCTCCCCTGATGATGTCATTCATGTTCAAGGATTCAACTACTTCCAGCAGTATGCTGATGATTCCTAAATCCATAGTTCCAGCCCAGACCTCTTTAGACCCCTGTACTTTATGCTCATATCCAGCTGCCTGCTGGACATCTCTAACTGGATGCCCCAGAGGGCATTGAAACTGAACTCTGGGAATTATCCTAGTCTCCTGCTTTTTCTTCAGCCCTCATCTTCAAACAGGTACCAAGAACTGTAGTCTTCTAAATATTCCCAGAATCCATTCTATCCTCTCCCTTGTTCCCAATTTTGCTCAAGTCCTCATCGTCTTCTGCCTGGACTGTTTAATACCTCCCATCCCCTGCATATAAATCCACTCATCCATTCATTTATGTAACTTACACTTTTACTCAGGCACCGTGCTAAGCACTGGACTCTGTTGAAAATCTAGGAGAGAGACAGGTTAAACAACAATGACAATGTGAATGGGTTGGTGTTGTGTTGGGGTAAACTCAGGATGCTGTGCTGTGCCTAATTTACCCTGAAAGATATCTAAAAAAAAGAATAACCCAACTGAGATCTTTCTAAAATGCAAACTTAACACTAGCATTTCCCTGCTTAAAAACATTCAGTGACTCAACCTAAAGGATTAAGTCCAAATATCTTGGCCTGATATTCGAGGCCTGTCATCATTTGCAACACAGCCTGAGGATTCCAGCGTTAACTTTCTCCATTCCCTACTTTGCCCCACGCATCAGAGATAATGAGATATATCACGTCTCAAACTCACCAGACTTTCCAAAAGGAAATTTGGGAAGGAAAGTAGGGGGAGAGGTAGAATGGTGGAGAGGAAGATAACCAGAGGTTCAGCAAGAGGAAAAAGAAATATGAGGGTGGAGAACCAGAAGATGGGAGGAGAGGAGGGAACTGGATAGAAAGACGTGGTGGAAGGGAGAGTAAGAGAATGGGAGGGGCTGGACTGGCGGTAGCGGAGGGACAGAGGGTGTTAGGAGGAAATGGGATGGGGGTTTCTGGGAGGGGCTGTTGGAGAGAGATGTACCTGTGGGCTTTGGCTTGGCTGCTACAAGTCCTTGGGTCAGGAGCTCATCTGAGGATGGAAGGGGGAAGTGCTAGCCCGAAGGAGGGAAGGCTCTCAGTTTTGGCTGAGCCCAGGCTGCAGGCGCTGAGTCGTAGAGGCCTTGCCTGCAAGTCTATGACTTGGGGAGGAGACCTGCAGAACTTCGCTAAGGAGCTCTGGCTAGATCTGGGGAAGAATGGGGAAGGGGAAGGGGAAGGGTAAGGGAAAGGGGAAGGGTGGGGTGGGGAGGGGTTGGGGATCCAGGGCGGTTGGGGGAAGGGATTGACTGAAGTCTCTGAAACCCTAGCCAGGAGAGGAGAGATCCGTCGCCAAGGCAACCGGAACGCCCAGTAGAGACCATGGCAACAGCAGTGCGGTCACCTCCTCGGTGGGTGAGGTCTCTTGAGGGGACGGCATTGGGCCCGGAGGAGACGAACCTAGAGAGAGTTCACTTCTGAAAAGGGGAGTTTTGCGGAATCTCTGTGAGAGAGTCTCTGGGTAAGATCTGCGGAGATCTGTCAGGAGGTCCGCGGGATGTCTGGGTTCATGAAGGTCCTAAGGTCCTTGAAGGGTTCCTATGAGATATCTGTGGGGAGGTCAATGGGAGCTGTGAGAATCTGAAGGGGCATCGGGGCTCTGTGGTTGGTAAGAACAGCAGGATCTCAGGTAGCTGGGGCCGGGGAGGAGTCTGTCCTCGGAGCCCAGCAGGACTAAGTTAGAAACCAATAGAATAGGGTAGTGGGCGGGTTTTACTGAGAAAGACCAATCGAACTGGTCGGGGGCGGAGCGTCATACCGACGTCAAGCCGAGGCCGCCGCCGCGGGGCCTGGTTATCGCCGGTCCAGCGCAGCCTGGAGTCGCCCAGGCCTGAACTCCTACCCAGGTCCCAGCCAGCCTGACCCCAGCCTCCGGCCTGCGAGGACGCCGGAGGTCACCACGCTGGGGGTGGGGAGCGGAGCCGCGGTCAGCTCTGCGAGAGCCCCGCTGTGGCCCGTCCAGCCCCGCCCCTGCCCGGGGCCATGGCCCAGCCCTTGCCCCGGCTCCTTGTCCTATCCCAATCGGGACCTTGGCCCCCGGCCCCGCCCTCGCCCCGCTTCCCAGATAGATCCCAGTCCCGGCCTGACTCCCAGCGAATGCCAAGGTCCGGGTCCCAGTCCTTCCCCTTGCTTCCTTCCGGGTCCCAGCCCCGGTTCCCCCTTGAATCCCTGCCCCTTGCCAGGCCCCCATCCCCGCCCCTGCCTGTGTTCCACCCCCTTTCACAAATTCCAGTCCAGCCCTTATCCCAACCCCATTCCCAGTGTTTGCCTAAGCCCCTGGTCCGACCTCTGCCCTTGCTCCAGTCCTCATCGCACCCCAGGGTTCCATCCCATCCCCTATCCTTGTTCAAGCCCCAATGCCCAGCCCAGCCCAACCCATTATCTCAGCCTTTGCCCTCATCCCTGTGTTTACCCAAGTCTCTCCCGCTACCCACTCCTCGCTCTCATACCCTGCCCTTCTCCCAGCCCCGACTCAGAACTGGGCTCCAGCTGCCGCCAGCCCTATTGCTGCTGTTGCTGTTCTCTGTCCTTGGCCCAGGGGCTGGTGAGTGAAGAAGCAGGAAAGATTGAGGCAGGGATGAGGCTTTGACAAGGAGGGGTGGACTGGGGGGATTCGGGAAAAGTGGGACCTGGGGAACTAGATCTTTGGGGAAGAAGTGAGAAGAAGAAATAGGGAGGAGAGCTTAAACAACCGAGAGGAGTTGGGAGGTGGTGGTAACTGTGGGCCTTGAGGTCCAGCAGGTGGCTCTGTCCCTAGGATGGAGACTCCAATGTTTTCTCTCCTAGAGTCTATCCTGACCCCACCTTGACTCTTGCTTTTCCAAAAAAGTCTAGAAGGTATTGCTTTTGCTCTCAAAGTTTGATGAGGGAGACATGGTCTCATACCAGAGAGCCTCCAGTCCAGTGTGGGAGGATTGAGCCAAAACCTTTGAAATTTTGGGCATGCATTAAAACAGAGTTAAGGAAACAGTTTTAAAGATAACGTATAGCAAACAGAAGAACATGGGTTAGTTGCCATTATAACACGTTTTCTTCTGGTAATGAGTCTTGTTCCAAATAAGCTTGTTTTGCCCAGGAATAATTCCTGACACTTTTAGAGCAGGGTGGAAACTCAGAGCCCATTTTACTGATGGGGAAACTGAGGCTTAGTAAGGGAGCAATTTGTCCAAGGTCACACACCTTGTAAATGGCAGTGCTAGGGCTAGAAAAAGGTTTTCTAATTCCTTTCCTATACTTTTTTTTTTTTTCACTGCAATATATGCCTAATAGGAAAACAGACTCATGTAGGGGAAAGCCTCAAAGCACAACCCCTCCTTTACCCTGTCTGCCCACCAGAGGGCTTCATCCACAAACTGTTCTTCTTTTGCCAGATGTCAGCCTGGGGATGGGGACATCAATCAGTGAGGCAGTAACTTGGATAGGAGAGCGAGAGGTTCAACTTCTTGATGAGTGGGATGTGGGGGAGAATGGGGTCCTGGCCTAGGAGATGTGCCATAAAGATGACCCCATCATAAGGAGATAACTATGGTCTTCATGGCCTCAGACCTCACACACCTCTGGTTGGTGGATGGAGATGTGCCTGAGGGAGTCTTTGACAATAACAGCTAACACAGCAACTGCTGGGGAGTGGTTCATTAGGCTGCAGGGGTCTGGTTCAGTGTACAAGCTTGAGGAAATCAATGCACACCAAAGGTCATGGCCTCTGCAGATGTGTATAGCTTTATGTGTCTGAACGCTTGTGTGTGTGTGTGTCTGTGTGTGTGTGTGTGTGTGTGTGTAATGGAGGGATCTGAGGGAATGCTGGGCGTGTGCAGCATGTGTGCATGCTTGTGTGTTGGTAAGTATGCACAGGGATGTTGTATGGGGTGCATGTGAGCCTATGTGTCCTCTGAGTGCCTTTGTTATTAGTGAGGGGGAGGATATGTGTTGTGACTCATGCACGTGTCTCTTCAGCTTTTCCTGCACCTCACATGGACAGGTTACTGAAGTGTCCTTCGCAAGTGATAGTTCCGTGGTTGGAGGCAATGTTGGGTGCCTCCCACAACACATAAGTAATCCATCTGCCCTAGCTGCTCTCCTTAAGGGGCTCAGTGTTGATTACTGCTGCTGAAAAATTGGGCACTCAGCAGAGGCAGTAGCCAGGTCAGTTTTCGTGAGGGGAAGTCCAAGCTTTTGAGTTCAATGCGTAGCTCCCATCCCTGCCATCATGGCTTCTTTGTTCATGAGCACATTTAGTGAGCACTGGGCTGGCTAGGGGAGGAGAGTGACTGACAGTCACAGAGTTGTACAAATCTTGAAAGATGTGGATAGAAGCATGATTCACTCAGTAGGTTTAGTGGCTTTGGTGAGAGTTGTAATGAAGTTGGAAAAGAGCACTATGTAGGTCCAGCTGCAGGCAGGGCTGCCCTTAGTGCTGTTAATGGTCACTGCTTGGCAGCTGTGACTGGCATGCAGGGGTGCTCTGTGACCTATCAGTGGTGATGGGTTTTGCCTGAGGAGAAGGTGGCAATGTCACAGGACTATTACAGCACAGGACTACACACATTTGGCCTTCGTAAATGTTATTGTTGGCTTCAATCTCATTTCAGGAATGGAGGGTACCTGCTGGGTTTCCTAGTCTCACCCCTGATCCTTGGGTCTTCTCTTTGGCTTAGCTGAGTGTGTGCCTTGCCCTTGCGGGAAATGACGTTTTGTTCCATGCAGGGCTATCCTTGGAGTCCCTGTGTGGTATAAGTGGTTAAATGCTTGGCTACTAATTGGAAGGTAGGCAGTTCAAACCCTCCGAGAGGCACCTTGGAAGATAGGCCTGGCGATCTGCTTCCAAAAGATTACGGCCATGAAACCCTATGGGGTCGCCATGAGTCAGAATCGACTTGATGGCAACTGATTTTTTATTTAAGTACTTCATTAGCAGGGCAAGCCTCAGCTTGTGTGTATGTGTGCTTTGGGTGGTGGATAATCACCTAGCTCCATTCTGGAAGTACTGGTGCATCCGGGGCAGGTTCATCTGATTTTGGCTAGGGCCTTGCTCATGCCTCCTCTGGTACATGGCTCTGGTAAAAAACCAAAAAAACAAACCTGTTGCTGTCAAGTCAATTCCAACGCATAGTGACCCTATAGGACAGAGCAGAACTGCCCCACAGGGTTTCCAAGGAGTGGGTGGTGGATTCGAACTGCCAGCCTTTTGGTTAGCAGCTGAATGCCTAACCACAGTACTACCAGGGCTCCACACATGGCTCTGGTAGGCCCTGTTAAAACCCCAAACCAAAGCTTGGAGTGAATGGGGATTGTAGATGCTTTATCAGAACTTCTTCTAGCTTCTTCTCAACATCCCCGGCTGCTGCTCATTCCTTTTTCCCCACCAGTCTATTCTGTGACCTCTGCAGCCCCTGGCTACTTTGGGGGTGGCTTAGCTAGTCCCCCAATTCCCCAAGTCATACCATGTTCCTTTGAGTCACAGGACTCTTTGTGCTTGTCTACCCATATTTCTTGGAGATCACCAGCTGCTTTTCACCACCAGCTCTCTGAGCATCTGCACTGGGAGCCTGGCCAACATCTCTTTTTCCTAACAGTAGCAATGACTAATGAGTTGTCCCAACCCTGCTACCAGCTTTGAGGAGGAGCAGTCCTTCCCTAACCCCAGCAGAGGGTGCTCTAGAGCCCTGATTTCTTATAACAGTAGGGAGCTCTTGGCCTTCTGCTTCCTAGTTGTCACAGCCAGAGCTCCCAGGCAACCTGTGTTCCTCATTAGTTGGCTCCATTTCCCTTCATTCCTCTCAGATACGTCTCCATTGCTCTCTGAATGCTGCTTTGTGAGCCCCCCAATGCCTGTGACCCTCTTTGGGTTCCTGGGCAGTACTCAACTTGCAAGGTGGCAGACCTTCCTTGCTGACAGCTGAGGCTGATTATGTGACCTGGACTGAACAGACTAGTTCTTGGGTGTAACTATCCTTTGAAAACGAGTACTGGAAAATCTAGCGCCAATGGCCTCCACCTGTTTAGGGTAGCTCTCTGGGGGGTGACTCTTGAAGTTGCTGTACTTTGGCAGGGCCAGTCTTAACTGGTATTCCCTCCTTCAGCAGCCTCCCTTTCCCAGATACCTCTTTCTCTGTTATTTCAAATGCCTCTTTTTGATGTTATGTCTCTCATTTCCAGAGAGGGAGATTGTCAGACTAGGTAAGCCCGGGGGGTATTTCCTGCTTGGCTGAAAACTCCCTTTCCAGGGATCCCCCTAAACTACTCCGTCCCTACTCTGTCCTGAAGCTGCTTGAGTTCCTCTCATTCTCACCAGTCCTGGGGGCATCCTCCTGGGCTTCTCTGTCAGATTTCCTAGTGCTTTACTGGGAGAGGTCTTGCCTGCCATTTGGGACCCTCTTCCCCTCCCCAGCTGAGCTATAGCATTATTTTCACTATCATGGCATTCCCAGCCCCAATGTGTTTGCCTGGCCAGCCACTGATACCAGGCTTTCCTGCTCACTTTGACTCTGCTCCTGACAACATGATCTGGTATCTTGGCATTTCAGTTAGAGATGACCACTTCCTGTCCCCCACCCTTACCCAGTCCTGCTAGAATATACCCAAGTGATCTGAGATCCCACTGGCTCACCAACTGACTGCCTCACTGGGCTTCCCCCCAGAGAAACACCACTGACTGCTCATTCTGAATCCTGGAGGGCCTAATGTTTCTCCTTTCCTTTCTCCTGAGGGTTCTCTTGGTAGCCTTCAAGCTCCTGTCCCTGCCTCTACCACCCAAGCAGGCCCCGTGTAGCCTCACCACACTTTGCCCTCCCCATGCCTGCCCTGAGCCAGTACACAGACAGCTCTGTGAAGCTTCTGAGGGTTTTTGCTGCTCCTGACCACAGGGGACCAGAAAGGGGAAGAAAATAAACAGGGAGGTTACACAGTTCCATGCTGACTCCCAAGACCCGCAGGTGGAGCTCTAGCCTGCTCAGTGACTTAAGAGGCCATGCCACAACACACACGCACACGCGCACGCACGCACGCACGCACACGCGCGCGCGTGCGCACAGCTCTATTTTGTTGGATCTGGTAAGAGGAGAACAATGGCTCCTAAGTGAGGGGTAGCCATAGGGTCAAGTGAAGAGTCCTAGGTTTAGATATGGACATATTTGAATCTTAGTTTTGAGCCTCAGTTTCCTTATCTGTAATAACAGTTCATTTTTTACAAAGTCTTTGTAAAGATTAAACCCGATGATGGCTGGGGCAGCACCAGACCTTGTTGCTAGCTCAGAGGAGAGCATTTGCTGAGTTGGTGCTGTTAGTGTGGCTTTTGGCAAAGGAAGACGCCTGTTGCATAATGGAAATGCAGTCTGTCCTACCCTGCCCCTTTCTCTCTCTCCTGCTCCCCAGGAGGCCTTTTGCTGACTGATTACTCCACCTGCTCACCCCGCAAGCTGAGTCCTTTCCGCTCCTTTGCCAGCACTGAGCTCTTCCACTTCCATGTTCCCGAGGACACATTCCTAGCTGTTTGGAACCTCATCATTTTCAAGGAGCAGGGGGGAACCTTTGGGGACCACTGCCCAGACCAAAGTGTGACTGTGTGAGTGTCTGAGTTAACCTCCTGACCCCCACTTCTAACCCCAAGACTGCTTTCCAGATGAAAATGTGACGTTATAAGTATAAACTAACCTCCTGACCCTGACCCCTGGGCCCAGATTGAAGTATAACTAACTGATTGAGGGCCAGAACTTCTATCCCCTGGCCACTTCCTGACTACTACTGTGTGAGTACCTTTTGCCCTTTATGACCTGACCTCTGACCTGGAACTACTTTGTTGTATGTGTCATTATGGGGAATCCAGTTGTTTTACTGGTAATAAGTGACAGTTTTCCTTTCTTTTCCCCATTTCCCACTTCCCACCCCCATTGCCTGCTTTCCTCCTCTCCTAATTCTGGTTCCCCAGGTATTTCCGGTCTGGGGCACCCCCTGTCATCAATCCCCTGCACACACACTTCCCAGGGGACACGGCTGTGCCTGGGGTTTTCTCACTGACCCTCAGCTGGACACTGCCCAACCGCACCTCAGGCATCTTTAACGTCAGCAGCCCCTTACCTGGGGACTGGTTCTTGGCTGCCCACCTTCCCCAGGCCCATGGCCACATCTCTGTCAAGGTGGGTTGATACTGTCCAGGGAAGGGGGTGGCGGGGGCACAGAGCTGCTTCTCAGTCCCTGCTGATTCTCCCCAAAGGCTACCTGGCACACCAGCCCTGTGCCAGAGTGGGCAACAGCAAAAGGTGGCAGGGATGGGACACAGCTAGAGGCTAGCAGGTCATCTGGGTGGGCCCAGAGGCCACAATCTGAAGGAGTAAATTTGGAAGTGTCCTAAAGGACACAGGGGGTCCAGGCAGACTGAAGGGAAAGTCCAGAGCCTGAAATCAGTTAGAGGCCCTGGCACTGGGGAGAGTGCCCCTTTCTATTGAAAGGCTCAAGGGTTAATTAAAATGATCAGAAGCCAAACAGGGACTACTGCAAATACTGCTGCATAAACCCAGGACTGGTCTTGTTCTGCATCTTGATCAGTGATAGCTCTGAAGACTCTTACAGGCTGTAGTCCCTTCTTTAGTCCATCTGGGAGAATACATTCCTCTCCTATCATAATTTCAGACAGCTCCCCACACCCCATGGAAGACCATAAGGGACCAGTCTGAGATACAGAAGCTCTTTCCTGTTAAAAGGAGGCTTGGGGCAACTGGTGTCTATCCTAATTGTTGCCCTCCTTTCCCCTCTTCATATCAGCACTGATTTCATAGAGCAGAGATTGTAAAAAGTCTGAAGGATTGGTTAAAAGGTTAGGATGTTTCTCCATTCTAGTTTAGAGGAGAAGGAAATGTCACATATTTTCCTACCACTCCCAGGTATTGGGCAGGCCAGACTTCCTCCTTGTAGTGAAGGAGTTTATAGGTTTTCTACCCCTGTCCATTGGAGAAGAGCATGTGATGAGCCGGCCATTGTCGGTGTGGGATGCCCGTGTGTGTGGGGCCAGCAGTAATGGTGAAGGACTGAACAGGAGCAGAGTGAGGATGTAAAGAGCAGGTTGCTGAAGAACAAGAAGCTAATGGGGTTTAGGTAATTGAGAATTCAGAAGGGAAGAAATTCCCAAACAGGTGAAGATTTGACTTGGGTATGTCTCTCCAGGCTGAGTTCCTTGAGGGCAGAGACTGTGACTATGTCAGACTGTAGTCCAGCTTTCAGTGGTGTTAATAATGCTTTTAAATGAGCTGAGAATTCGCAGGGACAAGTATACTGGCACTGCTATTGTCAGGGATGGGTGCCATGTGTTGGTTAGGACATCTCAAGCCCTCAGTGCTGGGTCTGTTTTTTCTGAGAGTAATGTACAAGAGAACTTTCTACCAAGGCCTGGAAGCTCTCTGGATGAGACCATCACCTGGAAGCGCTCTGGGTTCTAGATAAGCCATGACTCCCATCAGAACTAAGGATTCTTCTATCAGGAGGAATGTCTTGATAGGTCTTTGGCCAAATCCCAAAGAGCTTGTCCCTGATCCCAGCTCTGATTCTTGACTACCTTAATGAGAACTGACAGGACAAATCCTTCTGAACTCCTGCTGCAGTTACCCAAAATTCTGTTCTTAGTGAGCAGGAGGAGCCTGGGGCCTATGTCTGGGCTGGGATAATGGGAGCTGAGCCCTGGTTGGGAGAGGTCAGGGCTGCTCATGGTTACCAGACTGGGACAATGGGGAACTAGAGATAGCAGCTCAGAGAAAAGCTTACCAGAGCCCAAAGGATGATTCAAAGTGCCCAGCCAAGAGAGCTGGGAAGAGAGAAAGGAACCAGACATGCCCACTGCATCTAAGTATATCCATCAAGTGGGGCCTGGGAGACTTCATACTGTAAGCTGGAACTCTAGCCAGTAGAGCTACTTAGGGGTGTGGTGTGATCTTAGAGAGGAGAGGGCACAGTTATACCCTTGCCCATAAGTGGCAGCAGGTCTGTCCTAGAGGTTGGGAGGGCAAGGATCTTGTCTGTGGTTCCTGTAAGAATTTGATTACCTTCTATAATCTTGTCTGGACCTCTAAGTATTCTAAAGCTCTCCAGATCCTGTTAATTATCCAGACTGAAGCCTATGAGTGGATTTTCTAGAGCTTTCTTTCAGGGCTCATCTTAACATGCTTCCTCCTTGTACCATGGTCCAGCATAGGAAGTTATGTGGGATGGAGAGCCTTGGGTCGAGAATGAAGAGTCCCAGAGATAAGAAGGCAGTGTTGTTTCTAGGGCTCTCCTCACCTTTGGGAATGAGCCCAGGCCTCCCTTTATCCCTTAGTCCTTGAGAATCTGCTCTGTGCCAGGGTTGGGTGCTGGGGACACAGAGATAAATAAGATATATGTTAGTGAGATGTAGGAGAGATGGCTAACTCAGCTTGGTAGTGTGGTGGTGTTAGGAGACTGTTAAGGAGTGAGGCCTGATATTGAGAAGGCAGGGAAAGGTAGTAGGAGTTGCATGGGCCAAAGCTTAGAAATGAGAACTGAAGTGGATCATTGTGGCTCAGGTGTTGGGGCAGGTGAGGGAGCTGGAGGGATGAGCAGAGGCCAGATCATGAAGGGACTGCAGTGCTGGGCTAACAAGTTTGAAATTTTATCCTGAGAGTGATAGGGAGCCTCGAAAGTTTATAAAAAAGGGAAGTGACTCATCTGGTCCAAGCCACTCTCCTGAGCTCTAGTCCCACACTTCTGCTAGACCTTGTGTCTGTGTTATTCACTGCTGTATTCCTAGCACCCAGTAGAGGACCTGGTGCATAGTAGGGACTTGGCAAATTTTTGTTGCCCTTTTGCCACCTTCTCAAACTTATAGCGTCCAAAACAGATTTCATTTTCTCCTCCGTTCCTTGTCCCCTTCTTCCTATCAATCACTTCTGTCTCGCCCCCATGCCCTCCATCTCTTTGCCTTTCCTGTCTTGGAGCATGTGTTCATCCTAAGGCACCCAGCTGCCAGTCTGCCTCAAGGGAGCTAGCCTTTTGGTTGTGGGCACCATCAGGCACCCAAATGGCTCATGAGAGAAAAGTTCTCCTAAATGGCACAGGTTTTCCTTCAGTGCTTCCTCTTCCTAGGTCCAAGAAAGGACGTAAGAACAGGTAAAATAATGAAAACAACTATATGAAAAGCAGAGAAGTAGATGACTGTAGAACAACAAAGGATTCTGTTGAATCCACCAAACAGGACCAGGCATGGTTCAATAACACAACTGAAGTGATTACAATCTGCTAACGGTTCTTCCTCTCTTCTGCCTCCTAAATTATTTCATTTATATTTCAGATAGGTAATATATGCACCTGGTACAACATTCGAAAGGTACAAAAGGCATACAGTGAAAAGTAAGTCTTTCTCGTCCCTTCTTCCCCCTCCAGTCCCCCCTTCCCTTCCCCAGAGTTAACTAGTAACTAGCTATTAACTAGTTCCTTATGTATTACTCTTCCCTTCTTGAAACACTTTCTCCTTTTGGCCCTTGTGACTCTGCACAAGTGTCCTTGTTTTCCTCCTACCTCACCAGCCACCCTCCTCTGTCTCCTTCCTGGCTTCTCCTCTGCTGGATCTGTGTGTTGGAGTGCTCCAATGGTTGGTCCTGGGATGACTCCTTTTTATTTCTGCATTCTCTTCCTAAGTGTCTCCAGTTAAAATAATAGTTTTAAATACCATCCATAACTTAATGCCTTTCAAGTGTATTCAGCCAGTTCTAATTTCTTTGACTCTCAGACTTGGACATCTCCAATCGGATGTCTAATAAGTGTCTCAAACTTCACATGTACAAATCAAAAACAAACCAAAGATAAAAAATCTCTTTGATTTCCATTCCACGTCTCCCAGTTCAAGCCTCTTCTTTCTCTAGTGTTCCTCTTATCTATAAATGGCATTGCCATCCACCAATTGTTCAAGCCCCCAAATTAGATGTCATCCTTGATTATTCTTTTTCCCTCATTCCACCACAACCAATCAAGAAAAAGTCTTGTTGACTCTACCTCTAAAGCATGCCCTGAATGCATCTGCTACTCTTCATTTCGAGGTACACCTTCCCTTAGCTTTCTCCTGGATCACCACAGTGAACTCCTAAATGATCTCCCTGTTTCCACTTTTGCTCCCTGCAGTTGGTCCAGCACTTATTTATTTCTATGTTGATTGATGCTGACTGACAGTGGGCTAGGGGCTGTGCTGGGTACTGGGCTGTTCCCATGGAAAAGATAGAGTATCTTTGAGCATCTTCAGGCTGTAAGCCCCACTCAGAGCCTTGTACTGGCCACCCTGTTCAGGCCTCTCTAAAGAAACCCAGCCCACCCTTACTAGGATGTTCTAGGAATCCATCGCCTTCCACTCTAGGATCCTTCAGACTATTTCCCATCCCCTCTACTTCTCATTCTTGTCTCTCCTGGTTTCTCAGCTTCCTTGCTTTGACCCTGTTCCTTCCATAATTTCTGATTCTGGTTTACCCTCTTGAAGGGTTACTCAGTTTGGACCCTCTCACTTGGCTTCTGCCTTGGCAGCTGTAGAGGACCTGGCTTCTGGTGCCCTTTCTCTGGCCTCATCACAAGTGTGTGAAGGGAACTATACCTGTGCACCTTCCCTGGTCCCCACTGGCAGAACCCTCCCTTTAAGAGAGAGGTATTGGATGTGTACATTATATATTTTAGGGAAGGAGCACATCTTAACCTGAGAGGTCATGTCCACTGATCTTTCAATTAGGCTAACAGTAAGTAAAATGTGGAACAGTGTTTCTTCCCTCTAGATTGTCTGGTGAGGAAATGGCCTACCTCTTGAGCATGAGCCCCCACTCTTGGGGGCTCATTCACCACAAGATTATTGTAGTGGTGATTCCTTCCTTAGGAGGTTGGTTTGATGAAAGGACTTGTGTTGCTATTTCTGGTCCTTAGGGTTTGACACCAAAGATGAGGGACATCTGTTTTGGATATCTGAGATGGAGATCTCAGAGCCACTAGGTGGTTTCAGGAGCTCTCTGGAGGCACCCTCTCTTGACAACCATTCTTTAATTCAGCAGATTTTTTAGCACATGCCAGGTGGTGTGCTAGGCATTGGGAATGTAATGATGCAAAAGACACAGAAGAATTTCAGGCAGAGGGTGATGAGATCTTGGCATTTACCAAAGCCTCCTTCTAGCCTGGTGGAGCTTTTGCTGGAAGCCAGTGCCTTGGCTGGCTTGTTTCATGGCATGGGACTCAGTGGAGAATCAGGGCCTGGAACTTTTGTCCCAGAACAGGGCTTGGAGGTATGTCTAGGTTAGAATAACCATTTAAGTCTTCGTTAGAATAACTGTAAAAGTGAATAGTTTATTGAGTCAGTATAAGACCATTTGTTCAGAAGATCAGGGAAGCCCAACTAGGAGCCCCCTCCTATGGTGAACTGCTAGATTTGGAGGGCTTACATAGCTGCAAATGCTGCAGAGGAGGGACAGTAACGAAGGGGGACTGTGCTTGGTGAAGACTGATGAGGCTGGGAGGAACAGAGAAGGTCTAGGGATTTCATGATAGGGAGAGAAGCTGGAGGATGTGGTGGTTCTATTCTAGGAACAGAAGAAATAGCTCGAGGCATAAGGAGCAGATAGATCTGTGGGTCCCCTGAGGGCAGAGTGGTAGGAGGGGAGTCAAAGATGACAGGTTTTGGCTTCATAAAGGTCAGAGCTGCCCCCACCTGGACTGATGAGGCACTTATTTATTCATTTATTCAGCAAGCATTCATTGGTAAGGTCTGCACTTTCTGCTAGGCCCTGTGTCTGGGAGAACAAAAATAAAATAAGACAAGGTTCCTGTTCTCAAGTTGCATATAGTCTGAGGTTGCCTTGGGAGGTGTTTAACGGTCGGGGATGGGGGTAGTGTTAAAGGAGAGGCTGGATAAGCATTTGGGAGGGGACAGGGTGTGGAGTAAAGGAAATTAAAGCTTCAGATTGATGGTGGTAGAGGAAGGGGTTTGGAATGGAGACCTTTAAGGAGTTTTTCAACCCAAAAGGAGAGCCAGTGTTCTCAATTCTGGAGAGCCTGGTGGCAAATGGAGTGTTTGAGATTACTGTGAAGTGGCTCTGCCTAGGAATGCTCAGGAGGAGGGGTTAGATTGGAGGAGGGTCAGACAGGATCAGAATATGCAGGGCTTGTGTTTTGAGCCGAAAACCTCAGCCCTTGCTGGGGATCACAGCAGACCTAAGGAGGGCAGAGGTGAAGATCAGGCAGCATGGACCCAGAGCTTAGAGAGACCTTGATCAGAGCCCTGAGAACAGGAGACCAGGAGAATCTCCCCCCCCTCACCCCCCCAAGCAGGTTCTAGTTGCTTTGGTTTAGTAGCACCCCTGCTGTCTCTCCCCTCCCACCACCCCTGCTTTCATCTCAGGGTCTCCAGGATGAGTGTCAGTACCTTCTTCAGCCACAGTTGATTGTCCGGCGTTTGCTGGACGTTGCTGTGCTGGTTCCTGGCCGTCCCTCAGAGCAGACCCTCTCCTCCCACAATCGCTCAGCTCTGTACAAGTAAGTCAAATACTCCCCCATACCTGACCCTTCCCCTCTTCCTTCTCCTTGGCCTCAAACAGGGAGGTGGGTTCTCTCTTGACTCTCAGCTTTCCCTCCTGCCAACCTGGACTACCGGGTCATCCAGAGCTCCTGGAGTGGGTTGGATCCCTGCCTCCCTCTCCCAGTACAGAGGGGAAGACCTGGAAAGGCCTCTTATTCCTTCTGTCACCCATCCCCTCCATGTCCTCTGCTTCCTAATGTTCTCCTCATTCTGGTGTCCCTCTCACATCTGTACTCCCTGTCCTTTCTTACCCCAACCTTCCTCTGCCCAGGGTCTTTGTGCCCAGCTTCACTTACAGGGTTACAGCACAGCTGGTGTGTGTGGGGGGCCGCGGGGTGTCCGCCTGCCCTCTGACCCTGCGCCTACGTCCCAAGGCCCCACCCCTGCACAACTCAAGCTCTGTGACTTGTGGAGGTGCCTCAGCATGCCAGCTGGAGCTGGCGTTACCCCCCTGGGGGCACTGGGTCTACGTGCGTGTGGAGACACCATCCCGGGGCCCTGGCAGGACCATTCGCTTCCAGCTGTGTGTGCGGTTGCAAGGTCAGAACCCCTACATCTGTGCCAGCAGCCCAGCCTGTGCATACATCCGTGGCTGGGGAGAGGCAGGCCTGGGTGACTGTGTTCATTGACTGTCTACCAATGCCTACCTACAACCTCCCCAACCCCACCCAGGCTCCTTCGCACTCCCTGAAGCCCTCCCACTCGGAGCTCTAGGTCATTGGAAGGTCTTCAGATCACTTTTTGCACCTGACTTGGGGCTAACTAAGGGACCTCATAAGGACCTCTGGTGGCGCGATGGTTAGGTGGTCAGCTACTAACCGAAAGGTTGGAGGTTTGAACCCACCAGCTGCTCCATGGGAGAAAAGCCCTGGCTGTCTGCTCCCATAAACATTACAGCCTAGGAAACCCTGTAGGACAGTTCTACTCTGTCATGCTATGAGTCAGAATCGACTTGGTGGCACACAACAACAACAACAAAGGACCTCATTACTATCCTTGATTTAATCGGTTTCGGTTTTCTGGGGTAGGCAGGGATAGCCAGGACCTCTGGGACACTGTCCTTGCCAAAGCCTGTGCAAGTCCTTGAGAGGGCTCGTCACACTTAGTTTCTGTCTCAACAGTGTCTTCACTGTCCTTGGGGAGGGACAGAGGACCTTCATTCCCTCCAACATGACATTCCATTAGCTGTGACCACTAGGAAACTGCTGGGTCCCATCCTGTGACCCTGGATGACCCATACTCCCAAGAGACACATGATTCTAGTTCTCACTCCTTCCCACCCTTTGCTCAATCCTGTTTGGTTCAGATCTGGTTTGTGGTGGGGCTGCAGGGCTGTGAGGGCTGCAGGCCCCAGCTCTGCTTTCTCTGTCCCACAGAGTGCCCACAGCCCAGCCTGTACCGAGCCCTGGTCCCTGGAGCTGCCATGAACATGCCCCAGTCACTGGGCAACCAGGCATTGCCCCCAGAGCCTCCATCCCTCGGGGCCCCTGCAGAGGGGCCTGGGGCCACATCCCCACCTGAGCACTGCTGGCCAGTGCGCCCTACACTGCGCAATGAGCTGGATACCTTCTCCGTCCACTTCTACATCTTCTTTGGCCCCAGTGTGGCCCTTCCTCCAGAGCGCCCAGCTGTGTTCGCCTTGAGGCTGCTGCCGGTACTGGACAGCGGAGGCGTCCTCAGTCTGGAGCTCCAGCTCAATGCGGTACTCTTGGTGAAAATGAGGGAGGTCGCCCTGTAGGGGAACTCAAAGGGGAAGGTGTTGGGTATGGGGGCCCTTTTCTCCTCCAGGGAGTCTGCCCAGGTTGCTTCCATTCAACCTTGCAGTTAGGGACCATGTCTCAGCCCAATTTTGGCCCAAAAACGTGCACTGACTATTGACTCTGCCAGGAATGGGCTGGGCCAGCAGGGCAACTCAGAGTGTCAGGGCTTTGCCAGTTTTGTAGACTACCTCCTACTTATTAAGGGCCTCTATCTATGGCAAGGGAACCCTGGTGGCGCAGTGGTTAAGAGCTTGGCTGCTAACCAGCTGCTCCTTGGAAACCCTATGGTGCAGTTCTACTGTGTCCTATAGGGTTGCTATAAGTCAGAACCGACTTGACAGCAATGGACTTTTTGGTTTTCTCTATGGCAAGGAGCCCTGGGGGCACAGTGGTTAAGCATTTTGCTGCTAACCCAAAGGTTGGCAGTTTGAACCTATCAGCCGCTCCGAGGTAGAAAGATGTGACAGTCTGCTTCCATAAAGATTACAGCCTTGGAAACCCTATGGGGCAGTTCTGCTCTGTCCTACAGGATCGCTATGAGTCAGAATTAACTCGACAGCAGTGGGTTTGGTTTTGGGTTTATCTATGGCAGTTGTCCACTTTCTTCCTTCAAGTCTCCTGTGATGGGGAGCTCACCATCTCCCGAGGCCATGCAGTCCATGTTTGGACAGCTCTGATTGCTAAAGGCTTTCCTGATATTCTATCAGATCTGCCTCTATGAATTTTTATCCACTGACCTTTGTTTTGCCCAGGAAGCCTTATCCAATTAATCTACCCCTTCACATGATCCTCAACCTCCCCAAAGCTGAATAGCTTCAGTGTCTTAAGCAGAGCCCTCCCACCCTCCACCTTCTCCTCTGGTCATACTTCTTCTGGTCATTGGGTCTATAAAATAAGGGATCCAAGGTGGTCTGACCAGGGAAGCAGGCAACAGGACTGGCAATTGTGCAGCCTGAGATCGAGTTATCTCTTTTAGCTGCTGTATCACACTGTGGGAGCACCCAGGGCTTGTGGTAAACCAAGACCCCTGGGTCTTTTTCCTTTATTTCCTTCAAAACAGTTATATAAATTTATTTTTTATTATAAAGTAATAGAATCACATATAAAAACTTTGGAAAGTAGAGGAAAACATCCTCATAACACAATTGCTTGTTCTTTTCCACACCAACTGCTCTGTTTATCTAGTTGTAATCAAGAAGCACACACATTTTGGTGCCCCGAGCCTTGTTCATGTGAACTGCTGCCAATTTCCATCTAGCATTTTTGCAGTGAATTTTTGAACCTGAATGTAAGAATTTATGTCCATCCCTGGGGCATTGCCTAATATTGGTTTGGGCCTTGCTCCTTATGGAATATTGATTTTCTTCTCTGCTTTTGGTAACTCACACACTTGAAAAGCCAGCCCTCTGCACTTCTTAGTTATTATTGTCAGCATTGAATAGGACTGGGCTGAGGGCAGAGCCCAGTCATACCACTAGATATCTTCTTCAGTTTGACATTGATCCAATTATTTATCAGCTCTTCCCTTAGCCAGGCGTCCTTGTAACTCTACTCTCCTCCAGCTCTGGGAGCAGGAACCACTTTCCCATCAGCAGACCTGAGGCCTAGTCTGTGGCTTGATATGGCATTTTATGGGACATGACTCAGAACTTTCTAGTGGTCCTTCTAGTCAGGGCAGAGCTAGTTCTTCAACCTGAATATTCCTTATTTTCATATCAAACTCTCTGTGATTCTGTTCAGGCTAAGACTGCGTTTTGTGTATTTGTTTATTGCTATACCTTTGGGCAGTGACAGTGAGGGTTTTTTTAAATGATTTTTAAAAATTTTATTTATTTTGTTGTTGAGAATATACACAGCAAAACATACACTAATTCAGTAGTTTGTACATGTGCCATTTAGTGACACTGATTACATTCTTTGAGTTGTATAACCATTCTCACCCTCTTTTTCTGAGTTGTTCCTCTCCCATTAACATAAATTCACTGCCCCCTAAGGTTTCTGTCCAGTCTTTCAAGTTGCTGTTGTTAATTTGATCCCATATAAATAGTTCTTAAATGAGCATAATACTCAAGGCAGAGATTTTTTGCTAGTAAGCTAAACTATTGTTTGGTTTTAAGAAGACTTCAGGGGATAGTTTTGGTTTAAGGTTTAAAGATTATCTCAAGGCAGTAGTTTCAGGGGTTCATCCAACCTTCATGGCTCCAGGAAGTCTGGAGTCCATGAAAATTTTAAATTCTGTTCTGCATTTTCCCCCTTTTGATCAGGATTAGTCTATAAAATCTTCGCTCAAAATGTTCAGTAATGGTAGCTAGGCACCATCCAGTTCTGATCTCATGGCAAAGGAAGCGGTTGTTCATGGAGGCAATTAGCCACACATTCCATATCCTCCTCCTATTCCTGACTCTCCTTCCTTTGTTGCTCCAGGCGAATAAAGACCAGTTGTTGTGCCATGGATGGCCGCTTGGAAGCTTTTAAGACCCCAGGCACTATGCAATGAACTAAGAGGTAGAACAGAAGCACTAAACATGGTATTAGGCCAGTTAACTGGGATATCCTATGAAACCAAGACCCTAAACCTCCAAACCAAGGAACCAAATCCCATGAGGTTTTTGGTTGTACATAAGCAGGCAGTGAGGTTTTTTGATTTGACCTTGACACTGTAGATCTTGAGTCAGAGTCTAGCCCCACACCTGTACTTGTTCTTCCTTAGTATCCTGAGAGTAGAGGCCTAGTCCCCATGCAGCCACTCACCCTCTCCTCTTCCCCGTTCTTCTTGTTCATTCACTCTAAAGGACACTATTTACATTTCACTCATCTGCATGCTGTGACCCTTGCTACATTCCTTAGACAGCCCTTATTCTGAAAGGTATATTGGTATATCCACTCTGATAGGTAGACCATCTTTCCAAATATTTTGAATTTTTTCCTTGGACATTTGGATCAGAGAACTACATACCTAGATGGCCTTTTTTTCCCCCCTTTGATCCCCTCCTAGAATGACTTTTACTGAATAATACTCTGGCATAGTGCCCTGGGCTCGCATTGAGGGAATTTATAAGCAAGTTGTTGGAAGCTTATGGTGGCCGTTGAGGACAGGATGCAGAACAGAACACAGTGCTGTTTTTATGAGAGCTCACCTGATATCCACCCCTTTGGGTGCTGTGCTTCTCCCGAGACACTGATGAACTTTGCTCTTTGATGGATGCACAAATCTAGCAACTCATCGTATTTCCTTCTTTGCCTTGGTCCTTGGAAAGTCAGCATCAAATGTATGGCCAACATCTAGGGACAGACTTTATTTTCCCACACAAATCTTTTAATTTCCCTCATGCATTTACTGTTTCCTGTTACATGTATTTAATAAGCTGTCTGAAATCCTTCTTGAATCAGGTGAGTTTATGGCATCCTGTTACCTTTATTCTTGTAGACAGCGCTTACATTTCCTCCTGTGGTTGTGCTGTTACTTTTCATCCCAGCCAGGTTGCTACATTTAATCCGGAGGCATTCTGTTACCACCATTTAGTACGTGAGGATCATTTTATCTGAGTCCATTGCTTTACACTCCTCCTGCCTTCAGGCCTAGGTGAAGATGACTGCAAACCTTACAGTTCTTTTTGTTCACAACGAGTTTCTACATCCAGCAACAGCCCCTTCCCTCTTTCCACTCTCACTCCTACCCCCCACAAGCTAGTTGGTACTGGATAAGAGAATGTTCTCTCTTGCCTGGACAGAGTTTAAACAATTCTGCCCAAAAAAGGATTCAGAATTGGGTCCTAACCTTCTCATCAGTCTTTGAAAGATTTCTACTGTTGAGGAGCTGATCTTTTTCAGAGTTTTTCTGTCCTGAGAGCAGAGAAGAGAGGCTTTTGGTGTGAAGAGCACCTGGAAGAATATGGAATGTTCAGTGAGGGCCTGAAGGGGCTTCTGGGAAAGGGTTAACAGGTGTAGGGGTCTGGGGTGGGGGGAGGTGGCAGGGCCAGGTGAGTGACGGCTTCATCTCCATACCTGCCTTCTCCAGAGCTCCCTGCACCAGGAAAATGTGACGGTGTTTGGATGCCTGACTCATGAGGTGCCCTTGAGCCTGGGGGATGCAGCAGTCACCTGTTCCAAAGGTAGGGGTGAGGAATGGGGGAAGGACAGGAGGCTGAAAGGCCTGGGTAGAGGGGTGTGGGGGGTGGTATGAAGGCAGGCCCGCTAGGGTCTGGGAAAATAGGTATAGGTGGGTGAGGGTTCTTTGTGCCTGATGCCACACTGATTGTTCCTCCTCCTCACTGACCCCTCTCTTCTCTCCCCCAGAGGCTCTGGCCGGCTTCCTCCTCTCTGTCAGTGCCACCTCCAGAATGGCCAGGCTGCGAATTCCCTTCCCTCAGACAGGAACCTGGTTCCTGACCCTCCGCTCCCTGTGTGGGGTGGGGCCTGGGTGAGCGGCAGGAACGGGGGTAGAGGGTGGGTGAGACAGACCTAGGAGGGAGCACCCTGGGCCCCAGGTAACAGTGAGTGTGTGCACAGGTTCGTGCGGTGCCGGAATGCAACGGCCGAGGTGCGGCTGCGCACCTTCCTGTCCCCATGTGTGGACGACTGCGGGCCCTACGGGCAGTGCAAGCTCCTGCGCACTCACAACTACCTGTACGCGGCCTGCGAGTGCAAGGCTGGTGAGCGGGCTGGCAAGGGAACTGGCTGCTGTGGGCTTCACAGAAGGGGGTGGCTTGCTGGGTCACGGTGGAAGGCGTCAGCCTGAAATGGGGATGACCCATGTTGAGTTTGGAGAGAACAAGAGGGCAGAGCCAAGGTGAGACCACCTTCCACTGGTAGTGGCCTAGGGCTTGGTAAGAGGCTGCGAGCAGAAGTGTCTGCTGAACCCATGGCTGCCTTCCCCTGTCCTCTTCCACCCTATGCCTTCTCCCCCATCTGCAGGGTGGCGGGGCTGGGGCTGCACCGACAGTGCAGATGCACTCACCTATGGATTCCAGCTGCTGTCCACACTCCTGCTGTGCCTGAGCAACCTCATGTTTTTGCCACCTGTGGTCCTGGCCATTCGGAGCCGATATGTGCTTGAAGCTGCTGTCTACACCTTCACCATGTTCTTCTCCACGGTATGCGCTGGCATATGTGTCTTCATCATGTCCTTATCCACGGTGGTGGGTGAGGCTGTACATTTCCACCACATTCTCCAGGAGTTTGAGGATGTCTACACCCTTGTAGTGTGAGGATATGTCTCCCCTTCTCTGTGTCTTCTACAGTAGAGCTTCCCAACCTTTTCATGTCATCGCACGTGTAGGACATTTTCTATTAATTTTTGTAAGGCACAGTGGGGTAAATGAACAAGGCTGTTAAGATAATATGCTTGGGGGCTCCAGCTGCCCCACACCCTCCCTGCCCACTCACGCAGAGAGCAGAGGGGGCAGTTATCTCAACACACTGGCTGAGAAGGCCTGTCATACAGTATGGAATTGTGTCTATATCTTCACCATGTTTTTCTCTGTATAGCTGGAAGAAATCCATTCTTTCACCCACATCTCTGCATGGAGAGTGTTCACCTTCATCAGGTTCTTTCATGGTGGGAGGGCTAGCTATACTATGCTTATGTTCTCCATTGAACTGGGGATTTCTACATCTTTAGCGTGTTCTTTCTTATCATATGAATGATGTCTCTCCATTCAGTCACCATGGCCTCCTAAATTCTCATGGGAACGTTTGGAAGACAAAGGGGAGCTTTATAATTGGGTAATTTATAGAACAGTCTGGGTCTCAGAATCCTAAGAATTCTTATGGACTCAGCTATGTCCTGAGGCATCATGGGAACTAGGGGTTGTTGTTTGGTGCCATGGAGTCAGAAGCAACCTCATGTATAATAGAAGGAAACATGGTCCTGCGCCATCTTCGTGCTAGTGTGATATGAAATCTCATCTCAAAGGAGTTAATTTTTAGGAAGGTTAATATATGCGAAAACTCTACTGTTCCCGTTGCAGAATCCCCACAATCCTTCCCAGTGTTTTCTCACTCCTCCATAATTAGAAGAGTTTATATTATAAGCAAGGCTATTGTAAGGAAAGGTAGAGGAGTGAATCTGCTAATGTGACTTTAACCCCAATTTAGACTTTTTTTCCTCCAGAGATGCCACCTTCAGGGATCTTTAAATTTAATCTCTAGGCTCTTGGCATCTTTGACATACAGTGTGTGCCTTGAGCAATGCAGAAATCTTAGATGAATCCATAGTTTCTTCATATCTTGGCAACAAGGATATCACAAAAACTAATACACGCCTCCCTGGTGTCCAGCATGAATAGATCAGACATATGTCCAAATTACACAAGTCTTACTTATCATCTAGGAGAAAGCAGGAGGCAAATGTCCTGAAACTGAGGGTCCTGGGTTCCTCCCACAGATGAGGAAGAGTAGGCTGTCAACCACGCTGTGTAGATAGCCCTTGGCTCTTTAAGCTAGGTGAGAAGTGTATACTGCAATTCTGCTTGACTGGCCCGTTTTAGGCCTGTTCCAACAATGCCTCATTCTATTTTTATATTAGACACTGTTTCTCTTTTTTATTGCCAGATGCCGTTTATACTGTTGCTCACCAAATCCTCTAGCAACAGCTGTTCCACCAGCCCACTCTTAGCTACATGCATATCTAATATGATTCATAATTAGTAAGAATACCTAAGTGGAACACAGTATGTCAGGAGCCTGGAGCATGTAGGGAGAGGATATTCATTCTCTTGGACTTTTGGGACAGATATCCTGGGCATTGGCTCCAGAGTGTTCAGTTCCGGATCACTCCTCGTTATCTGGATACAATGACAGTCAATCTGAAAAGAGAAGAACAGACTTTCCCCCCAGTGGGAACACCGTGGGAGCCTAAAGTGCCTGGCAGTATATAGGAGCTCCCACTTTCTTAAATAAGGCAATAAGCAAAAGAGTAAGGAAAAGATTCCAACTTGGAGGTGTTGGCTAAAGTTTTGTTCTAACTCCTGTTCTTTTTCCACATGGGGCAAAATGTATGGGACAGTTCTACTCTGTCCTGTATGGTCACTAAAAGTTGGAATCGACTCGACGGAAGCAGGGTTGGGACCGGTCATCAAGTTTTCCTGGGCAGGTTTCCTATTTTCCTCCTTCCCTATTTTTTCCTTAGTCTAGACTTACTTCATTCCTCAGCAGTCTCCATTTGGTCACATTGTGATTCACAGTATAAATGAATAGTTTCTTTTATAAGGATCAGCACAAAGCTGGTTCCTGTGAGGCAGAAGTTAAAGATGTCCCAAAAGTCCAACTTTTCCACGCTGCTGTACCACTCCATCATCTCTAACATCAGCTACTCCTTTTCCCCTCAATACTCTCCCTCCTGTCTTTGGGTTCCCTAATTCACTGCAGCGTCTCACAGAACTCACCAGCCTTATAAAGGAAATGACTCACGTGGTTGTAGAGGCTGGCAAGTCCCAAATTCGTGAGTCAGGCGTAGGCTTCTCCCTGGCCCTGTCTCTGACCAAAGGCACTCAGCTTTCTTGCTCCGTGGGCTGGGAAGCCCACTGACCCATCTCCTGCTGGTCTCTCCTGCGGGTCTCTCCCTCCTTAATCATGGGCTCTTCTCTTTCCCACCTCTAGGGTGGCTCATTTCAAGCCCAGTGGGATGGCAAAACTGACCAGTCCTCTTGGTGGGCCACAATTACCCTATCACACAGTCCCACCCAATCACCTGAGTAGGAGTTACAAGACCATGGCTAGAAAGGCCATACAAAAAGCAATCCATTCACTGCACAGTACTAGGATGTTCTGGATGACAGCCTTCTTCCCTGTCTTAAATTCTGGACAGCCTACACCTGGGAGTAGTGCATCAGTCCCTATCCAGGACATAGGAGCAGGCAGTGGGTTTGCTCTTCAGGAACTTACAGATGTAAAATGTGTTTAAAAAACAAAAACAAGTCACAAATCCAGCAGTTGATTTTTATATAGCCAAATGATTCAAATAATGATAACAGCACACTAACATCTACTGAATACTTGCTGTATGTCAGACACAGTACTAATTTAATCCTCACAGTAGCGCTATAATAATAGATAGGTACTTTTATTATTATCATCCCTTTTTTGCAGAAGAGGGAAGGTTAAATACTTTGTCTAAAGTATAAGGTGAATGGTAGAGCCAAGATTCTCAGTCAGCTGGACTGCACGTCCCTCCACGTAATCACTGAACTCTACTGCTCCCCTGGAACGAGGGAAGTGAACATTCACTGATAACTTTCTAATCTGACTTCAGTTTCTCAAAAGCCCTGGATTATGTATAGAAATTCATGGCCTAGTTTAGTAGTTCTTCCCAAATCCTTAAAAAATAAATATAGCCAATCAAAAGATCAGAAAATCTAACCAAATCAGATTTAAGAAATCATTAGGGAAACTATACCAAACCTTGCAGTTGTACAACTCTAACCCAGAGCGTTCAAGCCACGTATCTTTCACGGTGAGACACAGGCAGAGCGGACATCCTGGGGCCAGCCAGTCTTCCTTTCTGGTTGCGGACAGCCTGGCTGCAAGCCTGCCTTCTCATTACCCCTCTGTTTCCCAAACCATCACAAGTAATTCTCAGTGGCCCTTGGCTAAATCCCACAACTGTTTCCAAGAGAAAATGGAAGCAGAAAACAGAAAATAAGAGACTAGCAATAAGTTCTGTTATATCCTGAGTGCCAATATCCCAATCTTTGCATGGATCAAATATGTTTGTGTTTCCATTTTTACATTCTGTGGTGCCTGGGTATTCCATCTTGGAGCATTAGATAAATTACAGCTTTTAAAATTTTCCTCTTACCCTGATTCTATCACCATAACAACCCATTCTTCCTGACATGGGAGGAGTGAGCAGCCAATATGCTTGTTCTCAATTTGGAGCTGTTTGTCCTCACAGATCCTACCCAGTATCCTTTCTTTCGGAGGGCTCATAAGGCACCATGAATACTAGAAAAGTCCATGGAGGGATACATCTTTGCACCAAATATATTCTTTTTTTTTTCATCCAACCTTCTCATTTTATTTTTTACTGTGCTTTAGGTGAAAGTTTACAGAGCAAATTAGTTTCTCATTAAACCATATACGTATTGTTTTCTGACATTGGTTGCCAACCTCACGACATGTCAACACTCTCCCCTTCTCAACCTGGGGTTCCCCGTTTCCGTTCATCCAGCTTTCCTGTCCCTTCCTGCCTTCTTGTCCTTGCCCCTGGGCTGGTGTGCCCATTTAGTCTCATATACGTGGCTGAACTGTGTGTGTTATTGTTTGTTTTATAGGCCTGTCTAATCTTTGGCTGAAGGGCGAATCTCAGGAGTGATGCACCAAAGATATTCTTAAAACCATACGTGCTTTTAGTGTCTGGCATTAGAATGTCAATAAATACTCAAATTACACAAATTCTACATAGGAATTCAGAGACAGGTGACAACAATAAATATTCTAAGACAAAGAGAACCCTTTTCACAAATTATGGAATGCTGGATATCAGAGGTCATGAGAGTGTTGTCCAGAGAAACGGAGGAGTTGGAACCACAGGACAAGAGAGGCTGATGGCAGACCTTAGTTCTTTAATTAGGGTGTCCACTATAGCTTGATCCAGTTGCACTTGCATGCCTTCTACCCACTTTGAACCTCCTCAATAGTCTACCCTTTACTGTGTTGTCTACAGGTAGGTTAGATGGACACTGTCCCTTCCTCATAGTCTTCCTCATGGTTTGAAGTGCCATGCTCTTCTCCATGGTGTTAGGGACTTTTTCTTACTGTGTCCCCCATGGCATTGGGTGGGACGGGATGAAGAGGGCCAGTTAGTGAGAGTCCTGAAGGTGAAGCCCGATTCAGAGTCTGAGCTATCAGGCGAAACTGGTTCATGCAGGGGAGGCTTGAGGTCTGGGTTGGCCAGAATGCTGGGCCCCAGGGCTTGGGCCAGGGATAGGGATTATAGGTAGGACCCACAGCAAGCACAAGGAGACAGGAAAGGGATTGGTCTCAGCTTGAGAGATCTGGACTCACAGGTCGGGTGTTGTCCACAGCACATTCCAGTAGCAGAAAGATTAGGACATGGGTTAGGGCTGTCAGATATATAACTGCTTACAAGGCAGACCAGGCCTCCCTACCACATTCTTCTCAGGAGTGGGGATGTTGGGCATTTCCCAGTTCTGCTCAGCCAGTGAGCTCTGACCTCTGCCCTCTGACAGCGCGCCACTCCTGTGGCCTCTTTCTCCAGTTTCAGTAGACCTTTGCCTCAGGTTCTCGCACACCTGTCGTTTCTTCCTCCAGTTCTATCATGCCTGTGACCAGCCAGGCATTGTGGTTTTCTGCATCATGGACTACGATGTGCTGCAGTTCTGTGATTTCCTGGGCTCCCTGATGTCCGTGTGGGTCACTGTCATTGCCATGGCTCGTTTACAGCCTGTGGTCAAGCAGGTCAGTGCAGAGTGGGCCCTAGCGGGCAACCATAGCCAAAGTCTACTTGAAATCCACTCCCAACCTCTCCCCAGGGCATTGCCAAGTGCCCCTTGCCATCCTGGTCCAGCCCCTGGAGTGCTGGCACTGGCTCTGGCCCAGCCTCTGGAGTCCTTCTTCCCTAGGTGCTGTATTTGCTGGGGGCTATGCTGTTGTCCATGGCTCTGCAGCTTGACCGGCATGGACTCTGGAACCTGCTTGGACCCAGTCTCTTCGCCCTGGGGATCTTGGCCACAGCCTGGGTAAGGGTGGGGAAGACTGTGGCTGGGGGCGGGGGTGTTCCAACAGAAAGTGGGTGCAGGGTCCTGAGTGCCTGCTCCCCACTTTAAGGTGGGCTTGCTCCCTGTCATCATCACTGTGCCCCTCATGGTGTCTACTCCAGTCCTGGAAGGTGCCTGCAGGTCACAACCAGGGATCAGGGGACAAGCCTGAGAGTGATTGGCTCTGGCTTGAATAACAGGACCCCACTTCTCTGCCTCCCCCAGACAGTACGCAGCGTCCGCCGCCGGCACTGTTACCCACCCACGTGGCGCCGCTGGCTCTTCTACCTGTGCCCAGGCAGCCTTATTGCAGGCAGTGCTGTCCTGCTCTATGCTTTTGTGGAAACCCGGGACAACTACTTCTACATTCACAGCATTTGGCATATGCTCATCGCCGGCAGCGTGGGCTTCTTGCTGCCCCCTCGTGCCAAGACTGACCACCGGGTCCCATCTGGATCCCGGGCCCGGGGCTGTGGTTACCAGTTGTGCATCAATGAGCAGGAGGAACTGGGCCTTGTGGGCCCAGGAGGGGCCGCTGTCAGCAGCATCTGTGCCAGCTGAGTGAGGCTTTGGGCCTGGCCCTTTGGGAACATGAACCCTTCCCTGGGGCAGAGAGCCCTTCCCTAGGGACGAGAGACAAGCTGTATTTCTTGAGGACATGGAGTCTTTCTTAAGGATGTGGAGTTCTTCCAGGGACCCAGAGCCTGCCAAGGGACATGGAGCACTTCCTGAGGGTCTGGAGTCATCCTGCATCCATAGAATCTGTCTTAAGGATTGGAGCCTCTGCAGGGACACAGCCCCTCAGAACCAGGGAGCCCTTCCTAGAGGTGTGGAGCCATCCGGAGGACATGGATTCCTTCCCAGGAAGACAAAGCTCTCTCAGGAACATGGCGTCATTCCTGAGGAAATGGAGTCCATCTTGGGGAAACTGAGTCTCCAGATCTTCCCAGCAGCTCAACAACTCTGGCCTCAGACTCCTCTTCCAGAGGCAGCGACTGGGCTGTGCTGTTTGAGGGAGTGAGGAGTGCAGGACACATGGGGCTGGGCTGGGGTGGCTGGTATCCTGAGTTGATGGAGGTGGACTCTGGTGTGTTTCCAATGAAGTATGTACTGGTTCTCTGCTGCCTTTTTTTCTGGGCCAATGATGTGGGAGGGTAGGGGAAGAGGGACCCTGAGGAAATGAGCAGGAGTGATGGAAGCCCAGCCTGAATGAGCTGCAGGAGCTACTGTCTGAGGCTTTGACCCCATCATGTACACACCTCAGCCCTCCCATCTGGTCCCTGCATTCACTTCCAAATACCCTCCCAATACCTGCTGTTCCCAGGCACTGGGCTAGACTGAGGGGAGACCAGGCTGCAGTAGCTGGGAGTAGGAAGTGTGTGAGTGTGTG